GAGAGAGAACAATAGAATGAGGGAAGAAAAGAGAATTTTAGCAATTTTGTCATTCCCTGGGCAGCGCTTTTTACTTAGTTTTAATCAATTTTGGACCTGACTCAGGCAGCAGGCAGGGATGAGCAGAAAAGGCCGCTGTGCTTGGCAGGGGATCCCCCATTCCTGGGACCTGCGGGGAGGTGCCCGGGAGCCCCCTTGGAGCCCCCTTTGTCCCTAACTCCAGGCCTGGAACGGGAGTCTTCCTCCTCGGATGAGGGCCCCACAGTGTGAGCACTGGCAGTGGTTGCCCTGCCGTGCAGCTCGGGAAACCCCAAAGGGGCCAGTGGCAGGGCCTTGGCATGGTCTGCCCGGGGCAGATAGGACAGGTGGGGCTCCCCGTGTCCTGCTCGTTCACAGTCTCCTTTCCCTGGTGGGAGGAGAGGTGGGCTCACGGCCAGAGCCAGCCCCCCACCCCCAAGCCTCAGGAGAGTGGTAGGAGGGTTCCCGTGCAGTGTCCTCTTGGGAAGGGGGTCCCAGAGAGCACCAAGGGCTGAGCCTGCGGGGAGGGGTTCTCACCCAGGCAGTTCCCTGCCCCAGGCCTGGGCCAGAAGCCCAGAAGCTGGCTCTTCCCCACCCACGCTGGGGAGGCCTCGGCCTGGGTTTCTGCCTCAGCCTTCCCAGCCCCCCGGCAAGCCTCTGTTTGGCCTTGAGTCAACTGCCGGGTTGGACTTTGGGCAGGTGCTCGAGGAGCCCTGACGAGGGAGGGCAGGTCGCTCTGTTGTCGGGCACATGGCAGGAAGTTTAGCATCTCTGCTCCCAGCCGCGCCTGGTCACTGTGGCACTCCCAACCCCCACCTTTCCAGATGCCCGCAATCGATGCCATCCAGCGGGGTAGCCACTGGCCACGTGTGGCTGTTTACATTTACATTAACTAACTAACTGAAGAAAAATTTAGTTCCTCGGTCACAGTAGCCACATTTCAAGTGCTCAGAAACCACTTGTGGCTAGTGGCTACCGCATTGGACAGCACAGACAGAACATTTTCGTTGTCGCATTGGACAGCACAGACAGAACATTTTCGTTGTCGCAGAAAGTTCTAGATGATCTCTGAGGCTGTTTATAATTCTAAAACTCAGCATCCCCATCTCTCAGTGGATGACACCCAACAGTCCCAAACCAGAGCCTGAGGGGCAGTCTAGCCTGCCGGCCTAATCTCTTTGACTAAAACAGTGTTTCAAACATTAGAAATTTTCGTGAGATTCTATCTGGACTTCTGGCTTCTTTTGAAAAGTTGGCAGATCCAGCTGTCCTGGGCCCTCACCCTCATGTGGCACACAACAGGCATTCTGGTCACTCTGGTCACCACGGACCCTTCAACACTTATGAGCAATGACTCTGTGCTGCCCCCTACATTTGAGTCCTGGCTCTGTCACTCAAGGGCTGTGTGGCTTCGAGCAGGTCACTCACCCTCTCTGTGCCTGGCTTCTGTGTAGGGTCAGGGCAAAGATGGAATGAGTCAGTGCCTGGTGTGTGCGCTGTCATTGGCTCTGCCTGCCCCCTGCAGACCAGAGTCTGCGACTCAGCCTGGGAGAGGCCTGAGATGCATTTTCAGGGACACCCCGCCATTTTACCCCCAGAGTACCGCCAGGTGCACCCAGGCACAGTAGATCATGGAGGAGGACCCCCTGACCCACCCCTTGGCCAGAAGATGGGGCCGGAGCCTTTGATGGAGGGCCTTGCCAAGCAGCCCAGCCCCATCCACCCTGGGTGTACTCTGTGCTGAGCTGCCAGACGCCAGACATGGCCCTGTCTGTGGGAAGGTGGTGCCCCCTGCTGGCATCCTGAGGGAAGTGACGCCCACCCCAAGGAGCCTCAGCTCCTTCCCCAGTGTCTGGTGCCCTTAGGGTAGAGGATCGCACACGGTGGGCAACGTGGCCCCTCCCCCAGGCCTGGCACTGCTAGGGACTGAAGCCATGTGGCTCCCCGCCCCCAGCCTTTCAGCCTGTGGGACCTTGGCTGGGGTGTATAGACGAGAATTTCTGCTTTTAATCCAAAGAGACAGAAAGGAAACTCAGCAAGAAGCTGGGCCACCCCCACCCCACTCCCCAAACCCTTCTGGGTACAAAAGCCCCAGCCTGGCATCCTCCCCACCCTCCAGGACCCATACAAAAACCTAAACAATTGGAAACATGGCCAGCTCCCAGGTCTGTGCCAGCGCCAGCCATGGGGGTCCCACCCGCTGGGCACAGTGCCCACAAGAAGGCCAGCTGGACTCTAGCACTGGGGGGCAGGGGCTCCGCAGGGGCGGGGTTCCCATAGGAGGGGGGGAGAGAATGGGGATGCCCTTCCTCCTCCGTGAGGGTCAGCTGCCCAGCACTCAGGCTCTTGGACGCTGGACCCGTGAGGGGCTGGAGGTCAGAGGGCCAGGTGGGGGTGAGATGAGACCTGCCCCAGCTGTTCTCATATCGCCTCTTTTTTGTCCTGTTCCAGTCCTGGTTCCTCTGATAAGATCGACTAAAGAACAAGATGAAAAGAGGTTCCTCGAAAGGGGGGAGAAGAAATTTTGAGACATGGAAAAATCCCCCAGCCCAGCCCAGCCCCACCGAAAAGCAAAAATTAGACGTCGTCAGCCACTCAGCCCTTCTCTCCTCCAGCCCGGGGACCCCCGCGGGCCCCAGAAGCAGCCCAGTTCTTGGAGAGCCCTCGGAAGGGGTCTCGGTGGAGCTGAGCACCAGCAGCCAAGCAGAAAGAATCATGCGACACGGACTCTGTCAAGTAGAGGACAGAAAGGAAGAAAGGATGCAGAACTGTCTTCCTCCCCTGCCCACCCGGTCCTAGCCTTCTGGGGAAGGAACAAAGTCCCCAAACAAAGCAACCAGCACAGTTCTGAAGGGGCCTGGCCCCCACCCTCACCCTTCCTAGGGGAATCCCACCCTCCCCTCGGGCCGGAGCTGCTCTAGGGAGCTCGAAGGACCAGCTTGTAAAGATGTCGGGGTGCAGGTCCCGCGAGTTTTTCCCCCCAGACTCCGCCCCTCCCTCCCTCCGTCACTGCCGCAGCTGGGGCTTCTTCCCCCAGCTGCGCCGGACCAGGCCAGGGAGGGGCGGCCTCCACTTCCCCTGTCCCGTCCTCCAGCTAAAAGCCCCCAGTCGGGCAGGGGGCGACCTCTGGAGCTAGTAGCGGGAGCCCGGAATTGGGGGTGTTCTGCCATCCACCCTGAGCCGCAGCCGCAGTTCCCCGGCCCGGACAGACCCCTCTGTACAGTCCACAGGAAACAGTCGGAATGCTCTCGAAGGCCTCGTCCCAGCCGGGGACAGGCCCCCTCTTCCCTCTCTCTGCAGGCCGGGAGGGCTGCCCTCCTGCCATGCCACGGGGGAGGGGAGTTGGGCCCCAGGTCGCCCCTGCCCCCAGCCCTGCATGCAGGTGTCCTCGCTCCGCCCCATCGGCCCCTGCCCTGCCCCTCACGCAGACAGCCCTGCTGGGGCCGGGCCAGAGAGTGGAGCAGAAAGGGGACCCCGGAGCCGAGCGAGGAGGACCAGGCAGCCGCCACTGCCGCCGCTAAGCCACCACCTGCGCCTAGGTAGGCGTCCTGCTTGCCGACTTTCAGTTCCTTTGGAGGGTGTTGGGTGTCGTCCTTTTCAAAAGTGTTTTGGAGCTTTCTGTCCCCCCCCACCTCCCCCCTACCCCCACAGCCACTTCTCTCTGGGTTTTAGCTGTAATGTCTTTACTCTTTATTTAGGGGTGGGGCATTCATTGTTTGGGTCTTTTGCTGTTGGAATTGGGAACTCCTCCTCCATTTGAGCAACTTGGGAACAATTTGGTAACACACCACAGGAAGTAGCTCTCCCCCCCAACCCCCTCCTCCCCAAAGGGATGGTTGGGGGGCCTGTCCAGAGGGTCTTCAGAAGCCCCCCTGGGAGGGAGGGGAGCATGAGCACGCCCAGCCCCCTCCAGGGTGTGACTTGGCCCCTCTGGCTTGTCTTTCTGTGCCTTACTCCCTCCCCCCTGCGTCTCCCCCAGCCCCCTTCTCGAGTCCTTGTGCCTCTCTCTTTCTCTCTCTTTCTTAACTGTATGAAAACACAAAGCACAGGTCAGGATCCTCTGAAAGTCAATCAATCCAACATTGCACCACGTAGGGGTGGGTTATGGGCTTTATTTATTGTGAATATAGTTTGTGAGGCTGTGGCCCCGAGCAGGCGGAGGGAGGAAAGGAGGGGAGGGGCCGTCCGGGGAGGGGAGGAGGGCCACGACCTGGGGCCGCAGGGGCTGGCGGGTGGTGCCTCCTGCCCGGCTGGGAGCCTCGAGGTGGCTTGTCCCGGGGGCGGCGGCTTTTGTTGGAAGTTGAGCGAAGCCCTCCCCCGTCCTCAGCTGCAGCCGTGGGAGGATCCTAGGGTCGAGGGGCAGGGGATCCCGCGGGGGCCTCCCGGGGCGTGGGGGGTAAGGTCCCGGGGATTGGGGGGCCGGGTGGGCCGGGCGTGACGCGCGGTCAAAGTGCAATGATTTTTCAGTTCGGTTGGCTAAACAGGGTCAGAGCTGAGAGCGAAGCGGAAAGGGCTCCCTGCCCGGCCGCACGCGCCCCTTCCCTCGAAGACAGTCAGGGCCTCGGGCGCTGCGGGCCTGCGGGAGCCCAGCCTGCGGGCCGCCCGCCCGGGCGAAGTCGGAAGCTGCAGGCCAGCTGGGCCCGGGCCGGAGCGTGCTCGGGGCTGCCCGGGCGGGCAGGGGGGGTGGGGCTGCTCCTTTCCCAAGTGGTGTTGTGAGGGGCAATGAGGGCGACAGGAGATGTGGGGACGTGTTAGGAGAGAAAAAAAAAACCCACAAAAATATATATGGGGGAAATGAACTTTTTTTTTTTTCATTGAACCAAGTGCAATGCATCAGAGAGTTTTCCTATCTTTGTATGTTAAGAGATTGTTAAGAAAAAAAATTCTATTTTTGTTGTAATGTCCTCGCGGCTCTGGGGACGCTAAAAGAACCGGGCCTGCCCCGCCCTGCGCGGGGATAACGAAAGCTGAGTGTTTTTTCCTTTTTTTTTTTTTTGTTCGTTTTCAGGTTTTTTTTTTTTAAGTCGTTTTCCTGCGTTGACGAGGATGATCTGGGGTTTTTATTTGTTTCGTCGTTCGTTCTCGGTTTCGGTGGGAGGGCTGAAGGAAACGTTCACATTTTAGAGTTTAAAAAAAAACACCTCGACATTTAAAAATTCAACCAACACAAGATCAAAAAGGAAAAGGACGAGAGAAAATTATTTTTAAGATAATTAAACATAAAAACCCTGGTGCTTCTTACATTATAAAGTACGTTTTAAAGAACCCACAAACTATTATACATAAGTTTATGAATCAATTAAATATCCTGCACTTGTTAGGAACACGCATATCCCTTTGTTGAGTTTAACGGAACGGGACAGCGGCGTGCGCCCGGCGGCTGGGCTGCTCCGGCCGCGGGTCTCCCCGGGCGCCCCCTCCCTGGGGCCCAGCGCCCCCTCCTCGCCCCTTCCCCGTCCGGGCACGGGGGCGCGGCGGGGGGTCCCTGGCCCTTCCCCCGCAGAGGTCAATGCCAACGAACAAACGTCCCCTCCCTCCCTCCCTCTCCGCCCCGAGCGCCCTTCTTTGAGCCAGACACCAACTTGACCCTCACCAGCATTATCAGGAGCGCGCTCAGCAAGTTGGTAGTTTCCTCCCCCCCTTTCCCGGCGCCCCCAGTCAACATCTCTCCTCCCATCCCGGCCCCTCCGGGGAACACCGGGAAGGCTTGACGCTCCAGGACAGGACCAGCCACGCTGACAGGTCGATTTGCCCAGGCCCGCGCCCGCACGCACGCACTCACACGGCCCCGCACACAGCCCCGCCCCTCCCCGCAACCAGCCCTGTCGACTGCCTTACACACCCGCCCCCGCGCTGGCCGGCCGACCTAGTGCCTTGTTCTCACCCCCGTGCTGGCGGAGCGGACGCCGCGCTCTGGGTCCCAGAGGGGCCGGGTGGCTCAGACGACCCACCACTTCCCCAACCCGACCGTGCTGAACAGACCCCCCCACACACACACACGAGAGAAAATAAAGGAGCAATAAAGTCACGAGAACTTTCGTCCCCCAATCGAGAGCCCAAGGGGCACCCCAGCCCCACCTCTGCTCCCCCACCCCACCCACCCTCGGGGCGCCCCCCTCCCCCCGCAAGCCAGCCTGGGCCAGCCCCGCTTCGGCCCCTCCCGGGAGATCCGTGCGCCCGACCAGCACCAGCATCGCGGACCGCAAAGGCCGCCCGTCCCGTCAAACAAGTTTCTTCTTAGGCTAAGAAACGCAGTATATACGAGTATCTCTATATATAGTACTAATGGATTTGGTGTGCTTCCCCTTAGCGTCCCCCTCCCTCTGCTCCTCCTCCTTCAGCCTGGTCTCCCCTCTCTGCCCTCCGCCCCCGTCTCTGCACTGAGATACATAAGAAACAAGGGTAGTTTACTGTCTGTTTTGTTTTCTGGGTTTTCAGTGTCCTAGCGGAATGCAAGTAGGCAGCCAGCCCGTCTGTCCCCTCTCCGCCCCGCCCCGCCCCGCCCCGCCCCCGTCACTGCGCTTCTGTTATACCATCTTTGCCTGACTCTCTCCGGCTTCTCCATTGAATGGCTAATGTGTATGTGAAATAAAGAAATAAAGAAAAACAAAAGCAAGCGCGCCTGAGCCTTCGCTAACGCGACCGTGCGGGACCGGTGCGGCGCGTTCTCTGCGGCGGCGACCGCGCTTCTGTCTAGGCGCCGGGGAGCGTCCGTCCCTGGGCTTCCGGGAGGGGGCGCCGGTGAGAAGGGCGAAGGCTCCTCAGCCCTTCCCCGACACCCCCACCGCCACCACCGCTGCGACCCCAGCCGGGGAAAAAAAGAGACAGCACTTGGGTCCAATGACCGTTCTACCATGTTGGTTCACCGACCTCGCCTCTGGGAAGGGAACACAGCCACTTCCAGCGGGCGGTGGGCGGCTCTTAAAAAAGGGTCTGCGGGGCCCCTGGGCGCGACAATCACCCTCTCAGAGCCTTGAAACCTTGCCCCGTCGGGGACGTCCTCACTGGTCCCTCTTCGGGCGCGTTCGCTCCCAAGCAGGCGCAGCACATCGCCGGCCCCTTCCCCGACGGCCCCGGGCTGAGTCCCCGATGCCCTCCGGCTCGGAGGCGTCGCCGCGCGGGGTCACCGCACCTCGGGACTCAGAGCCGCCTGCTCCGTCTTGATGGGCCGGGCCGCCCCGGCCGGGCTGCCGTCGGGATCGGCCGGCGGCGCGGGCTGCGAGCTCGCGGCCGCCTCGGCCCTGCGCCCCGACCCCTGGCGGGCGCCGTCGTCCGGGCCTCTGTGCGCCGGCCGTTTGCGGGGCCCGGGCGGGGTGGGGGCTGCGGCCAGGGCGGCCGCCTGGTCGCGCAGCAGCCGCACGAGGAAGCCGATGTACTTCATGGCGAGGCGGAGCACCTCGTTCTTGCTCAGCTTCCGGTCGGGCGGGTGCGTTGGCAGCAGCTTCCTGAGCTCGGCGAAGGCACCGTTAACGTTCTGCTGCCGCCAGCGCTCGCGGCTGTTGGTGAACACGCGCCGGGCCACCTTCTGGGGCTGGTGCCCTGCGGACAGGGGGGCAGGGTTGGCACCGAGGCCCAGGGGGCGCCCCTCCTGCCCTCACTTCAGGCTCGCGGCACCCTCGTGGGGACTGAACCCCAGGCGGTGGGCTGGGCTTTCTCCACCCGAGGGGTCCACGCGCGGCTCCCTCCCCGCGAGCGAGCGCTTCACAGGGGCCATCACGCCAGGCTGGGGACGGCAGGGGCCTGCTGCCCCTGCGACTGTCCTGTCGGCGCGTTTAGGTCAATGGCTGGGAGTCCCTAGGGAAAGTTCCTTTCCCTGAAGTCTGGGGAGCTGTCCTCGCTCCTTCTGAGCGAGCCCGTGTGGGGGCTGCCTGTGCTCCCGATCTGAGAGGTCCTGTTGTGACTGTGGTTCTGTCAGTGTCCTGTGCGGCTGTCCCACTCGTGGCATATCTGATGGCTGTGGTTGTGTGTGACGCTGCCATGTGGTTGTGGGTGAGTGGCTGTTTCCCCAGTGGTTATGGTCCTGTGGCTGCCTCCTGTGTGACTCTGGTGCTATGGCTGTCTCTTTCGTGGCTGTGCATTCCAGTGGGGCTGTCATTTTGTGGCTCCCATGCCCTGTTGTGGCAAAGTCTGTTCTGCCGTGTCTCTTTGTGGCTACGAGGCTTGGCTTGTCGGGTGGTGGTGGTTTTGTGGAGCTGGCAAGGGGACTGTGATTTGCGCGTGGGTTGTAACCTGTGGGGGCTGTTCTCTGTGTGCACTGGAACCCCCTCTCCCGTGGACGGGTGTGGGACAGACGTGAGTCCCACACAGAGACGGCCAGTCCCCTGGTGCACCCACACTCACCTTCAGCCAGGTCCAGCTCACAGTGGCTTGGTCTCCGCTTCAGCCGGCTGCTAGGGAAGATGCTGAAAGGTCCTGCCGGTCCAATGTAGACACTGTAAGGGGTTGTGGGTCACTAATGCCTTGTGGGCAACGACCCTGGCCCCTAGTTCCCCCCACCCCCACCACAGCTCCCCACTGACCTGTTGAGGAAGGGGTGAGGGTGGTAATGTAGGGCCAAAGCAGGCGGGGCGGTGCCTAGGGCGGAGAGTTGCAGCAGGGGGGGTCGCAGGGTGCTCAGCTCTGTGGTGGGCAAGGCTGCCCCTGGGGGCCTGGTGTGGCCCAGGCTGATCACTGGCACACCAGGGGGCAGCCTGGGGGGTGAGGTGCTTCGGTGGCCCATCCCCTCTGCCTGTGGGGGCCCAGGTGAGGCAGGTTTAGGGGGCGGGGCGGGCGCCGGGCTGGGGGCACACAGCATCTCTGCCTTCTCAGTCATGGTGGGGCCCACCTCTGCCTGGGCCTGGGGCGGGCACATGGACCCCGAGGTGGGGGTGCTCACCTGTGGGAAGGAAGGAAGCCAGTGGGGAGCAGGACCAGGTGCCACCTTCCCACCTGCTTAGCCCAACAGCCCTCAAATGGGGGGAGTGGGGAAAGAGGGAGGGGGTTTCAGTGGGCAGAGGCAGATGGGGGTGGGCCCAGAAGCAGCCAGGAATGGGAGGGGGTCCTACACAAGACCAGGAGGTGGCCCCTGAGGAGCCAGGCAGTGCTATCTGAGCAAAGTTCCCTTCTTCCAGAATTCCCTTTCACCTGCAGCCTGGAGAGGGGTCAGGCAGGAAGCCCCTGACTGATCCTGGGATCCCCCTGAAACCCCAAGACTGGCCCTGTCACCCTCACATTTGGAAATATGGTCCTGGGACCCCTCACTGACATACTGACACCACGTGACCTTGGAATCTCTCCAAGATTGTCTCTGACCCTTCACTGACCGCCCCCCCCGCCCCAGGCTGACCCTCCACTCCTTGGCTGTGACCTGAGCTGCTTCCCGTCGCTTCCACATCTGACCCTCTCGATAATGGCTCTAGTGACCCCCACCCCCACTGAAAATGTCCCCTTTCTAACCCTGTGACCTCACTGCTGACACAATGACCCCAGGACCCCCAAACACTGACCCCACTGCCCAGCCCAGTCCCAGCCATGCCCCGATCCTCCCTCTGGCTCTGGGGACCGCCACCCACATCAGCATCCACAGTTCTGCAGGCTGCCTTGACGTCCCTGTTCACGCCTGGCTCCAGAGCCTGAGGTGTCCCGGCAAGGGGTGGGACCCCTGGCCCTCTGCCCTGCCTTCCTCAGCTAGGCCCTGGGGAGGCTGGCCTGGCCCCTCAGGTAGTGGGGCCCTGCTGCTGAATGAATGAATGAATGAATGAATGAATGAATGAACAAAGGAATGCAGGCAGGGTTCCCTCCTCCCCGCAGGATACTCCACCCCCCTTCATTGGGGTGGCTCCCCTCTTACCCCTTCGCTGTTCCCGCAGCCTGGTGAGTGCCCTGGCTCTGTCCCGTCAGGGCTGGCAGTCTGGGCCAGGATGCAGTTTCCAGCGTCAGGCCACGCTCGGCTGTCCGGCTCAGGTCCGGCCTCTGCGCTGCAGGCCGCCCGCTCCGCCCGGCGTGGGGCCGCGCCTCCTCCCCCTCCCGGGCTCCAGAGGGCCGCCGCGGCCCGCGGTGGTGGCGTGGGTCCCCCGAGGGAAAGCGAGCGGCTCCCGGGCGGGCCCGCCCTCTCCCCGCCCCCGGCGGCCCGGTTTCCTCCTTCTCACCCCCGGACCAGCGGCCGGAGGATGCTGGCCCGGCGCAGATAAGGGCCTGGCCGCCTGGCCGCGCCTGATAAGGAGCCGGGCTGACCCCGGAGGAAGCGGGCGGGCGGGGATCTCGGAGCGCGGGCCTCCCGGCCACGCCCCCGGCCGGCGCGGGCAGGACTCGGGGCCGTCACCCCTCAGGTCCTCACCTTCCGCTCCCCGGGGCACTGTAGGGGCCCAGGCCCTCTGGGGACCCTGGCCTCAGGGCGCAACCCCGGGGGAAGCGCCCGGATGCACGCAGCGGGTAAACTGAGGCAGGGAAGCCTCTGGGTCTGTCCTCTGGTTTAGAACACCCCCTGTCCGAGTGTCGGTGCTGATGGGGAGGGAGGGCCCTTTCCGCCCCGCTGGGGCCGCATGACCAGGGGCCCCCTCCTTCTCCTCACCCTGCCTGGTTCCTCTTTTTACAGAGCCCCTCCCGGCCTCTCCGCCATCCCCATCCGGGAGTGGGGCACCGGAGGGGGTACAGTTCTAACAGTCTACACTTGGGTGTCCAGCCTGGGCAGGTGTCCTGGGCCCTCAGTGTGCTATCCACAACGTTTCCAGGCACAGGAAGGTGAGAGGAAGTGCTGCAGCTGTGGGGGAGGGGGAGTGTAGCATTTCCTAGGGTGCCAGGGCTGGTGTGACCTTCCAGTAGACCCCTCAAAGGGTCCCCACACCTCTGGGCCTTTTGGCCACAGGATCACATAGCCCCAACTTTGTGGTCCCTAGCCCACACCCCCCAGCACCTGCAGAGTGAAATTTAAGATTCCCCTAAAACTTCACAAAGGCACAAGCTCTGGTCACAGCCAGCGAGGCAGCAGCAACCACACGACTGCCACCCACCTGAGTCAGGCATGCTTTGCTCCCTGTATATCTGGGTGACTGCAGGAGTCCCCAGGCAGGGACCCAGCACTGACACTGCCACCACCCTCTAAGGAATGGGGTGAAGCCCAGGTCTCCACAATGCACAGCCCCACTGCTTTCCCGGGGAGCTAGAGCTGAGGCTTTAAGCGTGTGAGTTAACCCTACAAGGTGAGGTCTCAGATCAGCTTCCTTTTAGGCAGAGAGGGGATCCTGCCCCAGAATTCTAACCCTTCACTCTGGGGCTGGGGGGAAGGGGAGATGCAGCCCCTCCTCCCCACTGGTGTCTGGGCAGCAGCCGCTGAGCGCACAGCCCCTGGGCCGCAGGGCAGGAAGCACCTGGTCTGGAGCGGATGCACAGGGCGCCTGGTTCCGGTCCGGCTTCCGCCACTGCGGCCCCGGGGGAGCTGGGCCAAAGAAACCAGGCGGCGAGGAGGCAGCCTCACGAAGACACGTAGGGGCTCCCTGGCTGGAGCGCACGCCTGCCCGCGTGCCCGCGGCCAGAGCGCGCTGAAGATGGGGCAGGGAAGGTGGGGTGAAGCACCGCGGGCACGGGCGCATGGCTGCCGTCCCGCGGCCGCCTCGGGAACCGCAGGCGCGGCCTCTGGGGTAGGTGGGCGGGGAGCACTCAGTGCCACCTGCTGCAGGGGGACCCCCTATACAGACAGAATACCCCAGTCAGGCGGGGACAAACGATCCCCCAGATGGGCAGATGTACACAGCTCCCCGTAGGGAGTTGGAGGGACAGAGGCACAAACCCCAGACGGACGGGCAGAGCTGCTCGGGCACATGGACAGACGGACCCCAGGCAGCCTCCCCATGCAGACCAATGACAATCAGAGGAAGGTGACATCTCTTTATTGACTCAGTCTATGCCGGGCCCAGCAGCAGCCCCAGGCCCAGAAGGGTTCTCGTTGGAGGTCTCTGGGCAGTCAGTGGAGGCCTGGTCAGCAGAGGCCCCGGGTGTTGGGGGGCTGTGGGAGTAGCAGCACTGGTCCCCCCGTTGACAGGTGCCCTGGTGCGAAGACAGCAGGTGTGAACCCCCACCTGCCGCTCAGCAGCCCCCACTGGGTTCCTTTCCTGGATGGGAAGCTCACTCCCAAGCACCTGCCCTGCCCCAGTTCCCCCAATTCTTCCCCTGTTGCCCAAAGTGAGAGGGAGGAGGTACCTCACCTGCTTGAACCTCTTGCAAGGAAATGTTTTGAGCCGGGCAGCCCGCTGGGCTGGGTCCTCAGCCAGCTCCTTCCGTTTACTCTGCAGCAGCCGGCGTCTCTCCTGCATGGCTTCGCTGGCCGCCTTGCCCCTGTGCAAGGGGACAGGTAGCTGGGGCCCCATGTGGCCTTCACCCTCCCCTGGCCTGGCTGAGCCCCACCCCCACAACACTGCCACTCACCCTGGCCGGGCACGGGGCCGGGGACCCCAGTTGGCCTCCGGGTTGGCCTGGAATCGCTTGAGTCCTCGCTGGCGGGAGCTGGGGTTGGCATCTTCCCGGATGGTGAAGTTGGCCTGTAGCCTGGGGAAGAGGGGGTTGGAGGATGGGGGCAGCTGCCAGCTGCCAAGCAGGAGTGCATGGACCACCCGTGGGGCCTGCCCACCTCTAGGCAGCACGGGGTGTCTGCCCACGTCGGGATTCTCTCATTCATCTAATAAACATTTATACTTTACAACTGTGTGTCTACATTGTTCTCAGTGCTGGGAATACACAGTGAGCAAAATGGACAGAAAGTTGCCCCTGGGGCTGGGCTCTGTGGCTCACACCTATAATCCCAGCACTCTGGGAGGCCAAGGCAAGAGGATCACTTGAGACCAGGAGTTTGAGACCAGCCTGAGCAACACAGACCCCACCTCTACAAAAAATTTTTAAAAGTCTAGCCAGCCATGGTGGTGCACACCTGTAGTCCCAGCTACTCGGGGGCGGGAGGACCGCTTGAGCCCAGAAGTATGAGGTTGCAGTGAGCTATGATGACGTCACTGTGACTTTCTAGTTGTGGGGACAGACATGCAATAGCATAAATCAGGAATAAGTAAATTACGTTGTGTATTAGGGTGGGAGATCAGCATTTTGGTAAAGGGAACAGAGAAACAGGAGGGGGTGCAATGTTAGACAGGAGACGAGGGAAGAGCCATGGGGGGGGTGCCCAGGACGGGCGTTCCAGGGGCTTCTACAGAGTCAGGTGGGTGTCGGGAAGATTCTGAGCAGGGGAGGGACGTGCCTGACTCAAGGTGTGCACAGGTGCCCTCTGGCCACCGTGCGGACAGATGGTGGCAGATGAAGGCAGACTGGGGAAGGCGGACGAGGGTGGGAGAGATACGCGGATTCTGGATCTCACATGGGAAGTGAGCAGGTGTCTGGGGGGGGGAGCGTCTGTGTCATCTGCACGCGTGCGTGCTGCCCTGCTGTCTTACGCACAAGCATGCCCGTACCTGGGCTCCACACTGAGAATGCGGAATGCCGGGCTGGTCTCCGACAGGCGCTCCCGTTTCACGGGACACTCCTTCTCCTGGGGGCGGAGGTCAGAGGTCAGGGGATGCTGAGCTCCCAGGGGCCTCCAGGTGACCATCACCTGCCCTTCCACCCCAGGTGGTCAGCCTGGCCTCACCCAGCAGCGCATGATGTCCCAGAGAGCCGAGGCGGGGGCGTCGGTCTTCACCGCGTTCTTACAGGCATGGGAGAGGGAGACCCGGAAGCCAGCGTGGAGCAGGGCGGACCTGGGGACCCGCAGGGATGGTGAGGGGGAGGCTGGACCCCAAAGCCCGGGCTGACCCGCATTGCAGGGACTGGCGCGGCTGCACTCCTCGGGGTGACTACGTGGCAGCAGCCATAACAGTAACCTCTGAGTTCTTTCCTAAGCACTCGTGCACGAGAAGCCCTGGGCTCAATGGGGGGACCTGCCAAGGCCACTCTGCGGTCAAGGAGGGGCTCTTCCCCGCCCAGGAGGGCGCTCACCGCAGCTGCAGGAGGCTGGGCGTGTTGCAGTGGACGGTGCTGCTGAGCTGGTCCAGCGTGTAGTAGAGAGGCACGTCCGGCAGCTCCTGCGAGGGGGCGCGGTGGAAGGGATGGGCCTGAGCAGAGATGGGCGGACACAGGGGGAGCCCCCTCCCTGTCACAGCCGGGCCCCACCTCAGTGACGACACTCAGGACCCCTCGGATCCGCTCCGAGGTGTGGAAGCGGCTGGGGTTGGCGCTCACGGCCTCCAGGACACGGCCCACGAAGTCCAGGTCGTGGATGGGCTCTGCCCACATGGGGCCACCAAGCTGCACAAGCACAGGGGACAGGTGAGCAGGGACAGTGACCTCCAAGACACCCCTCTCACCTCCCCCGGCCCAGCCCTACCTGGTGTCGCTGCCCACAGTGCTCACACTCGGGCGTCACCGGGGGACCACAGGCTGCCGAGAACTTGACCCTGCACGGAGAGGGGAGGTTAGAAGGTGGCGACCTTCTGGAACACCCCTTCGCCTGCCTCCCCAGCACACCCGTGCTCACCGGTCGCCGGGGGCTCCCGAAGCTTTGCCCAGGCGCTGGAGGTGGAAGGCCCCGCAGCCCACACACTGGAACACCAGTGCCTGCTTGCTGTTGGGGGGGGCGCCGGGAGTCGCCACGGGTTCTCAGTGTGGTCACCACACCCCAACTCCTCCCTCGGACTGGCCCAGTGCCCTTTAGAACCCCCAGGTCCTCCAGGGCAAGGCCTCGTCTCCTCCCTCAATCCATTACCCATCCCGCCACCAAGCTGACCTGGCTGAGGCCTTAACCTTGGCCTGGCCAGTGAAGACACGAACAAAAACACGCACGTAGAAGTCGGCGCTGATGCTGAGCAGAGGCACCACGAAACGCTGGTAGCAGTTGGCGCGGAGGTCCAGGCTGTGCAGGACGATCCTCAGGGCCTGGGGGTGGGGCCGGGGCGGGCATCATCCCCACCCCCCAGGAGCCACACACAGCGGTCACAAGCACGTGCTCAGGGACGTGGGAGCCCTGGCTTCCAAACTCAATCCTGAGTGTCCTGGCTGTGGGACCCTTGACAAGTGAGTACCAATGCTATGTGCCTCAGTTTCCTCATCTGCAAAATCACAACAGTCCCCGGCTCTCTGTGGCGCTGCTGGGGTCACAGGCCCAGTAAACTGAACCTATTTCGGTTGGCACCATCAGTGTGCCCTGTGGTATGTACGGTGGGCTGAGGACCTATGTTCCGGCCCCCGAGGGCTCTGTGGGCAAGAACTGGGGACGCTGGGTGCTGCAGAACTGCCGGGGCCTTCTTGCTCAGGGCAGCCTGGAGACTCCAACATGAGAAAGGAGGCATTTCCCAAACTGACATGATGACAGGGCCCTTATGGAACAAGCACAAGGACCCCTCCTTTCCCAGCCCCTCAACATAGCCCCAACCTTCTTCAATCCCCACAGCAACCCAATAGGGTCAGGCCACCATTGTGCCAGTTTTACAGATGCAAAAACTGATACCCAGGCCAGACACAGTCAGTAGTTCTCATCTGTAATCCTAGCACTCTGGGAGGCCGAGGTGGGAGGATTGCTTGAGGCCAGGAGTTCGAGATCAGTCTGAGCAAGAGCGAAACCCGTCTCTACAAAAAATAGAAAAAATTAGCCCAACGCAGTGGCGCATGCCTGTAGTCCCAGCTACTCAGGAGGCTGAGACAGGAGGATCGCTAGAGCTCAGCAGTTTGTACGAGCTATGATGACACACTACCGCACTCTAGCCCAGGCAACAGAGCAAGCCCTGTCTCAAACAAACAAACAACAGAAATCAAAAAAACAACTGAGGCCCAGAAAGGTGAAGTCAAGTTACTTGCCCAGAGCCACCAGCAAAGCTAGGATTTGAACCTAGATCTGGAAAATCTACCTTAAAAAAATTTTTTAAAAAAGTTGTTATAACACAGAATACTAGAATAATGTAACCACCCACTCTTATCCTGGACAAAGCCACTGTCCCCAAATGACCACAGTTAGGAGCTCATGCTCTTGGGAACTATGCCAGTTAGAGACATGCTTGTCATTAATAACCTGGGATGGATCTGGCCCTGGCTGCCTGTGGGAAACTGAGTGGTTTGAAGGGTGGGAAGGTGTGCTGGGGGGGAGGGGGACTGGCGACTCAGAGCCCAAGCCCTGATCTCCCTGGCCAGCTGGCAGGGCCCCTTACCATCTCATGGCAGGCCCGACTCTTGAGGGCCATGGCCCCGTACTTGCTGTAGCATGTCTCTCCGCTGTTCCCTGCCAGCACCGCCATGTCCGTGCAAGTCACACACAGCAGCCCTGTGGGGAGGGGCTGGGCAGTGAGGACCCCTCCAAACACCCCAAGCCTAGTTCCATACCCCAGCATCAGCCCAGCCTCACCTCCTTCACTCACAGCCTGCACAGCTGCGTCCAGGAAGGGGGCAGGGCTGCCATAGGGGTCCAGGTCGATGACATCAAACCTCTCTGACACCCGCTGGTGCTGGTACATCAGCATCCTGGGTGCAAGAGGGCCAGGTCCTCAGCCTTCTGCACCAGGTACCTGCTCTGTTCCCTACACATGTGAACTCCGACAGTGCGGTGAACTCAGGGACTAGCTTCCCAGGTCCACGTCCTGGCTTGGCCGTTTATTAACTGCATGATTTTGTTCCTTAGATGGGCCTTAGTCTACCCATCTATAACAATGACAATGGTAATAGCCAATACTGATATAGGACATAACATGCCTGGCACTGTTTCAAACAGTTTGTAGACTTTTAACACATTTAACCACACAATCCTCCAAACAACTGCATGGGCTGGGAACTATTATTGTTCCCTTTGCAGACGACGAAATGCAAATGCTACTTATTTCTGGCACATTATCTGCTATTTAATCAGCACAGCAATCCCTGTAAAACTACTGTTCTCATTTGACAGGCAAAGAAACTAGGGATCAAAGAGGCTAAGTCACTCGCCCAACGTCATACAGTGAGAACATGATGGAGTCAGGATTTGGCCCCAGGCAGCCTGGCTTCAGTGCTGGGCTGTGCTGCTCAGAACCTACCGGGCGTCTGCCTGGCTGGGCTGCACCAGGTGGGCCACATCATTGAGCTGCACGTTATGGCGCATGAGATCCATGGCTCGGGCAGATGCATCATTGGCAACCACAGATCGGAGTCCAGGCACCTCTCGGGCGAATCGAATGGAACGCAGGCCCGAAGCAGCCAGGCCCTCCAGCACCCGCAGGCCCTCCTGTTGAGTAAGCAGGGAGCCCCACTCACATCTCAATCTCTATACTCTTCTGGGCCCCAGGGAAGCCTCATCACCCACCTCCAACGACTCTCCCCCTCCAGGAGTCCTCCTCCTTCTGCCACCCACTAAATTCCAGAGCTGCCACCTCCTATGCTCAGGTCCCACCTCACAGATCTCCCCCACGACGGCTATTCGAGGTTGGTCTCCTGGGGCCAGGTTTTCACTCTCTTTTGGTTCAACTTTATCCTCCTCTTGCTCCGACAAGGCCACAACCACCTTTTGCACGTCTTTCTCACCCGGCACCTTGACTGCAGCCACCCAAAAGACACAAGTCAGGGGGTATTGAAGCCCCCCTCTGAGAAACCTCCCTTTAATCTTCAGAATACAGGAGATTAGTGGAAGAAAATCTTCCCAAAGACCCTAGGGAAAGGCTGAGGGAGCACAGCCCAGGTCCTGCTATGTAGCTGGAGCCTTTCTGGGGTTTCCAGGGAGAGGTGCCCAGACAGGGTGAAAGCTTTGTGTGACCCTCACCCACCAGGGGCCTGGACCTCCCCACTCACTCTGGATTCCTTTGGCCCCAAGCTGCATGCGAGCAAACTCGGTGATCACAGCACATCTGGCAGGAGACATATGATCAGTTCATAGCCCTTCATCCTCATTGACCCACTCCCCTCAGCCAGGTTGATCCCTGATCCCTGCTCACGTCAGGTCCCGGTTGAACTCCTGCACCGGGTTATAAAAGACCTCGTTGGCGCTGGGGAAGGCGATCTTGGCGGCCCCCTCGGTGACTGTCATCTCCTGGACCTCGCGTGGGAGCTCTTCTGCGCAGGGTCCAGTGCCGTTCTCCATCGCTGATGGATTCAGCGGCCCTTGGGACTGCCCCTCTGCAAACCGAGCTCTACAGAGACTGGGGGCGGAGCGGAGAGTGAGGCTTAGCCACTGAACGATTCTCGTATGGGACATCCGCGGGCGCCTCTGCTCGCCAAGCCTGGTTGGGGGGGTGAGGGCATAGAAAGAAGTTCAGAGAGCTGTATTACGGGGCCAGGAGTGTTCTTCACATCTATAAAATGGGGACTAAGGAGACGCTGCGGCCCCAATAAGCTGACGCCACCCCGTTTTCAGGGGGATTGATCCCTGAGGAGCCGGAAGCTCTCGTGCGGACCCGCCTCCAGTCTGGATCCCTGCTCGTGCCGCCCAACTCCTCCTCACCTCCTTTCGCGACACAGAAAACCAAACTAGTCTTAGTGCACGTTTCCCAAATTAGGACCTGGGCGCGGCCATGTTGGAACAGTGGGTGGGCGAATCACATGACAGTAGCTAGCCAATCAGTGATGGTACCTACGGTTGGGGGCCAGGATCAAAATGCATAGCAGAAAGGAAGCGCGCTGATCATGCTGTGCAGGGTCCCTTAATTACAGCAACTCCCCTGGGAGAACACGTCACTGGTCCCATTTCAGAGATGAAGGAGTTGTGGCTCAGAAAAGGGGCGGTAAGCGGAGAAACCCAACACCTACTGATTGTGTTCTGTGTGCTGGGTTCTACATACACATTATTTCAGAGCACCCTGCAGGAATGACTCAAGACTCTGGAATTGAATTTACTGGGTTTGAATCTCAGTCACACCACATGCTCTGGGCGAGTTACTCAAACTCTCGAGGCCTCACTTTCTTTACCTTTTAAATAACGATCTTAATTTACAAGGTAGAGCAAAGATTAAATCACACACTACTTGGAAGGTGTGCGAAGCAGTCACTCTCACATAGTAAGCACGCAGTATGTTCTAACCGGCGTATGAAGGCAGAAGAGCTTAATGGTCTCGGTTGCCTGGGTTCGAGTCTCAGCTCACCTTGCTACTTTTTCTTAACTCTGTACTTAGGTTTCCTCATTCTCAAGATGGGCAGACCTTCTTTAACGTTAGTTACTGGGTCGTGGTGAGGATCAAACAAGTTAGTGCAAGTAAAATGTTAACGGAACCTGGCATCCGATAAGCATCATAAAAGTCTTAGCTTTTATTGTCGCTTCTAGAGCTTGGGCTTAAATCCTGGCACCCGCCATCACTTTCTTGCTGCGTGATCTTGATTAGGTTTCTTCATCTCTCTGTGCCTCCTTTTATTTTTTATAAAGTGTGTGTGTGTGTGTGTGTGTGTGTGTGTGTAAAACAATTTCTACCTAAAAATGTTACTGTAAAGTTTAAACGAGCTAATTCCCATAAAGAGCCTAAAACAGTGCCTGGCACGGTAAATAGCAGTCGTTATTGTTTGTTTTACAGGAAACTAAAGTTCGAAAAGGTAGAGCGACTTGCCCAAGGTCCCGGGACTAGAAGGTGGCGGGGTCGGGATTCGAACTACCCAGCAGATCCGACGTACAGGAGAGGATCCTCAGGGGCGTAGAGAGGAGACGGAGCCGGGAAGAAGGGGCGCGCTCGAAGCTCGGCTGGCCTCGCCTAGGGGGCGGGACCTGGGGGCGGTGCGCGGGCGGGGCCGCGGCCGCTCCTCCCTGGCCTGGCTGCGGCGGCGGCGCGGCTTGCGCTCGCTCGGCGCTCGGCTGGGGCGGCCTGGCCCACAATGAATGGCCGCCGCGGCTGCCGCTGCTGCTGAGGCGGAGGCCGCGGAGGCGGAGGCCGAGGCCCCGGCGCAGGGGGGCGCGCCCCGGGCCCAGGCCCGGCCCGAGCCGCCGCTGCGGAGCCCGCCGGGAGCCCCCGGAGCGCGGCCACGGCGCAGGTGAGGCTGCCCGCCCCAGGCCCGGTTCCGGCCTCCTTCCGCCGGGGCGGCCCGAGGGCTGCGGGGGGAGGGCCCAGGGGTTTTCTCGGACAGAGGAGGAGCTGGGCCCGCAGCCTGCACTGTGCTCGGGCCCGCGAGTGTGTGGAGGCCCGGCCACCGCGGGCGGCCTTGAGCGTCCAGCCCCGGGCCGGCCTCGGGGTTTTGGGGTGGCGGGCCTGGGCCCGGACTCCCACCGCCACTCCCAGCGAGGGAGGGGGCCAGGTCGCGCCAGGGCAGGTGCCTGCGGGTCCCAGGACGTTGGGGGCCTGGAGGAGGAAAAGTGTGGAGGCTTCCCGGGGATGCAGGAGGGGGAGGGGGAGTCGGAGTCGGGCTCTGGGCTGGCCGAGTGGGGGAGGAGAGCTGAGCGGCCGGAGGGAAACGGCCCGGAGGGGGGCGGGGAAGGGCCGGGCCTGCAGGTACTGTCTGGGCGCTGGAGGAGGTGGGTGGGTCAAGTTACAGGCCTGGGGGCGGCTGAGGAGAAGCCCAGGAAGTGGGGCATGGTGGGTGTGGGCGGAGTTAGTTCGGGTGGGGGCGAATAGGAGATCCCGGCGATGTTTGCTGGGGTCACATGAGGTCAGAGCACAGAGAGATGGGGGAAGGCCAAATCTGGGGGCGATCAGGTAAGGCGAGGGACTACTGTAGGAGTTTTGGGAGTGGGGGCAGGCAGATCCTTTGGGCCAGGCTAGTGGGGATTTGGGGGCAGGTCAGGAAAAACTAGTGTGGCCAGAAAGTGTATGCCAAGATGTGCCCCCCACCTCCAAGTGTTAGCTCAGGGTCAAACCTAGGGGTTTCCTTCCCCCCACACACACATTATGCCTGAAGCCTCAGCCTACCCTTTGGGCAAGCCTCTGCCAATTGTTCAAAGGCGCTGGCCAGTGGGTGTTTGTGTGGGCAGCTGGAGACAATCTGGAACACCTAGCTCAGGCGTCTTGTTTACCACTGGGATGGCCCTCGCCCACTGCCTCCCTATATATCTGCAAGTGGCAGCCCAACAGACACTACCTGAATGTCTTAGGGTCCTGGATTCTGTTCCTACTTTGTGTGACCAGAGCTTGAAGGCTCAAGCCTAGGGGATGGGAACTCACAGCTACTATGGTATGCTGTGGCCTCCTAGGAACCAGCTCCCTGAGCCTGAGTTTGTGGGTCCCCTCCCTGGAGGTGAAGAATTAGGGAGCTGAGCATATGAAGCTGTGTTAATCGTGGTTTGGAGGCTCCTGATGGGGTGAAGACGGGTCGCAGAGATGAGGTTAAGGGGATCAAGTTAGGCACCCACACCCTGGGCCCAGCCCTTGGGCTTACCCGCCACAGGACTCTGCCTCTGGGGTGCTTGTCCTGGGCCAGGCCCTGTGCTGAGCTTGCTGGTCGGATGAGCTCATTGATGGCTCACCACCACCGGGTCAGCTTAGGCCTCTGTGGTCCAGACAAGGAAGCTGAGGCTCAGGGGGTGGCATGGTTTGTCCCAGGTCATGTGACTAGACAGTGGCTGAACTAGGATTGACTGACCCTCAGCTCAAACCCATAGTCACCTGGTTCACCTTCCGAGGGCACAGCGGGAGAAGCTCCTGGCTGTTCCAGATTCCCTGGCGGGGACTCTCCTCCACCCAGGCCTTTCCTCCTGCCCATCCCAAGGGATGGGTCAGTCCCCATTTGGGACAGACTGAGTTTCCTTGGTGTCCCAGGGGACTGGAACAGTGGAAGCTTCTTTCTCAAAGGCCTGGTCACCCCTTCTCCCCCATTCCTCTTCTGGGAGCCAGGAGGTCAGGGGTCACGGAGCTGTGGGCTGGCTGTGGGAAGTGACCATGAGGATGGGGCTGGCATTGGAGCTGGATTTTGCTTTGCCTTCCTCGGTTGTTTGCCCCCCCAGTCGGACTGCCCGGCTTTTGTTCCTTGTTTCCGGGCTAATTGCAAGGCTGTTACCAGGGTGTCCGTGGGACTTTGATTTGGGATCCACAGCACCTGAGGCAGGAGCTGCAAACTGCTGGGTCAGGTGGTGTCAGCCAGTTCTTCTGGGTTTAATAATGCATTGTTACCCTAATTCCCCCCCTTTCCCCATGTCCCTGTAGTTCCCAGGATAACCCCCCCATCCCCACCCAACCTGGGTCCTGTCCTTCTCCCCTCTCTGGGTGGTCTCCTGGCTCTGGGAGGAGTAGGAACAGGGTCCAAGGCCCCATGTAAAGAGACCATCCTCCCTGCCTGGTTGGTCTGGAGCTGGCTGCCGGGGCTGGTGCACACAGATGGGGGTGGGGGGGTACCATCCGGTCACTCAGCTAAAACAGGGCCAGAGACTGATGGGAGTTGGCCCAGATACACGAATGGCAGGGAAGGGGATCTGGCCTGGAGCTAGAGGCGGAGGCTCCGGTAATAACTGCTTTTCAGTGGAACTTAGCACCCACACTGTGAGGCAAGTGCAACAAGTAGATGGCCCATTAAGACAGTTTTGTTTCAGTGCAGGGGGCCGGCTCCCTGCTGGGGGCTCGGAAGCAGCCCTGAGTAACAGATCCAGAGTAGCTGCCTCTCCGGCATCTTTTGTGCTGGTGAAGGTGACCAACCTCGGACAAGCAACCGGTCCAGATAACTTCAGATAGCTCTCATATTTACAGAGATGATATAACTTGGCGAAGCTGGAGTGCGCTAGGAAGGAATGGAGAGATTCCACTGGGTGGTCAGGCAGGGCTTCCAAAGAGAGCTAAGATATGAATAATAGGAAATGAATGACTGGTCCTGGTGGCTCACGTCTGCAATCCTAGTGCTCTAGGAGGCTATGGTGGGAGGATCACTTGAGATCAGGAGTTGGAGACCACTCTGAGCAAGAGCGAGATCCTGTCTTTACCAATAATGGGAAAAAAAACTAGCCAGGCATGGTGGCTGGCACGGCTAGTCCCAGTTACTTGGGAGGCTGAGGCAAGAGGATCACTTCAGCTCAGGAGTTGGAGGTTGCAGTGAGCTATGATGGCGCCACTGCACTCTACACTCAACTCAGGATGACTGAGCCTGACTGTCTCAAAAAAAGAAAGAAAGAAAGGAATTAGCTGGGGGTGGCTCTGGGGCAGGGAGGGGCCGGTGTTCCTGGGGCCTGCACATTCACAGCTTTTGTTAAGTATAATCGCCAATCTCCGGCTAAATTGTTCTAAACATTTTGTCTTCTGGAGGGAAGGGAAGGATGACCCTAGGGGATCCTTAGTGCCTTTGCTGGGAAGGGAAGTCCTGTCTCTGTCTCCTGCATCTCCCCATCATTCCTGCATGAAAGTTTAGAGCCTTTTGTCCGCATCCAGGGCATTTTGAAATTGGGCAGCAGGGAGCCCCAGCAGGTTCTTGAGCTAGGCTTTGAGGAGATCTTAGTTTGAGTCAGTCTTACAGGATCTATCAGAGGGGTCAGCCTGGAGGCAGGGGCTTTGGAGAGAGTTGGGGATTGCCCCAGAGAGGCCTGAGCCCTGAGTTATCTGCATCCTTGCCAGAGCCAGGGAGGGAGAGCTGGCCAGGCCAGGGCGGGGCACCGGGCCTTGGAAACACAGAGGTAGTGTTCGGTCCCTCTCTTGGGTCCTCTGTATCCCTCGTCACCTCTTCCCCCTTCTTGGGTTGCTCTGAGCACTTTGACACATTTTAACTCATTTAAGCCTGTGACTAGGGAGTCCTGCCTATTGTCATCACCATTTGATACATGAGGAAACTGAGGCATGCGAGGCCTTCCTTCACACCCGGCTCTGGAGCCATCTGCCAATCACCTCTCTCCCCTCTTCAGAACGCTACAACAGCAGCCTTTGCGGCTGGCCCGAGCTGGCCCCCAGCCGCCTGGGTGTCCCCTCAGCCCAGAATGCCTTCTCCTGGAGTGCCCTCGGCCCCGGGGAGGTGGCCTGCACATCAGGTGGGGGTGAGGCCCAGGCACTACAGAGGTTGTGCTTGTTATGTGGTCGTGGTCATTCCCTGTCCTTAAAGACTGTGAGGACTTTGTGTCCGAGTCGTGTTTTCTGAATGAACAGAGGGAGAAAGTAGGTGAAGATGGGTGAACAAACACAGTGTGATAGAGAGTGAAATTTCACGGTTAGCGCCACCCTGTCCAGCCATGGGACTGGGCAAAGGTCTTGACCTGTGCACCTCAGTTGCCCCCTCTGATGAGTAGGGACAGGAGACGCTTGGGAAATGTCTGGAGACATTTCTGTTTGTCACTGCAGGGGGTGGGGGTGTTGCCGGTGCCAAGCGGGTCTGCAGGCCGGGAATGTGGCTCAACATCGAACACAGTAGGGCAGCCCCCACTGCAGAGAATGACCCAGCGCGCCTGGCAGCAGTGCCCACTGTCTGGTGTCGTAAGGATTACGGGAGAGCTTGTTTCTGGGGTGATCGATTGTGCAGTGCTGTGAGGACTCTGGGGGCGCTTTCAGCGAGTGCTGCTTATTAAGGCTCTGGAAACGTGCAAGGCTCTGGGAGATAGAGGCGGAAGATGTCTCCAATTCTCAGGGAGGGGCCAAGGAGATGGACTGAGGGGACACCACTAATCATAACAGCTGGCACTACTAGGCACTGCCTGCCCGTGTTATTTGATTGTTTAATTGTGGAAACAGCCTCATGAGGTGGCTGCTGCTGTTAGCCCACTTTACAGATGGGAAGACTGATGGGGGGGGGCGCGAGTACCATTATAGATTGTTTTCTGGGACCATAATTGTGGGTGGGAAGCTTTGTAAGGGATTTGAGCCTGGGGCAATAAGATTCGAAAGCTTAGTCAAGTGTGGTAGTACGCACCTGTAGTCCCAGCTGCTCAGGAGGCCTAGGCAGGAGGATCACTTGAGCCTGGGAGTTTGAGGCTGCAGTGAGCTATGATTGTGCTTGTGAATAGCCACTGCACTCCAGCCTGGACAACATGGCAAGGCCTCTTGTTCCCTCCCTACCCACCAAAAGGGCTAGATGTTATGCCCTGCCACGCCCTGGGTGGTCTAGCACACAGCTCAGCAGGCCCCATTCCCAGTATAACCACCCTGCCTCCAGCCCCGGCAGCCTCCTTTGTGTCCATGGCACCAGTGGCACCTCAGGGCCTTTGCACTTGCCGTTCCACCCTCAGCTGCTGCTCCCGTGTCTGTGGGTATGAAGGCACACGGGGAGAGTGGGCTGTAAGGGAGGGTGGGCTTCTGGTTGGGGCCTGGAGCTCGATGAGGACAGACCAGAGCTGCCGCCGGGCTCTCCAAGGAGCTGGAGCTGCAGCCTGCGGAGGCCACCAGATTGCCAATTGCCGAGGGTGCGAGGAGGGAGTGGGAGGAGGGAAGAGGGAGAGGCGGCAGGCGGAGACTGCTCATTCCTGGAGGTGGCGGAGGGAGGAGGAAGGGCTGGAGAATAGCTGAGGGAGGCTGGGAGAAAGAAGGCCTTCCTGGGGCTGGGGTGGGCAGAAAGAGCAGCACCCAGTCTGATCCTTAGACAGCACCTGAGACCCTAAGGTGGGGTGGGGTCCCCAGGCAGGCCGTAGACCCTGTTTCTGGAGAGGACCTGCCTGGCTCTGGGCTTGGCCTGTCCTGGGTTCCCATCCTGCCTCTGACTTGCTTTTCTGAGCAGCAGTTTTGCCATCTGTGAAATGGGTCTAGTCGCAGCTGCCTTACACCCTCGCCTGTACAAACCAGGGCCTGCCCTTCACCAGCCGCATGGTGCTGCCTCCGGCTGCACCTCTCTGGGCCTTAGTCCCATCCACAAAATGGCAGGAAGACCCATTTCTTCCTCACAAACTGTCAAGAGGAGGAATGAAATGAAGCTTGTCTGCGCACTTGCTGGGCACTGGCGCACAGTAGGTACAGCCTGAGTAGGGGCAGCTGTTACTAATCCCGTGACCTACCGTGGACTTAATGTCAGCCTTCGAGGGGCAGAGAATTAAATGTGCGTGTAATTAAAATATATACTGGCGGTGGCACACCTGTAATCCCAGCACTTTGGAAGGCTGAGGCAAGAGGATCACTTGAGGCCAGGAGTTAGAGACCAGCCTGAGCAACATAGTGAGACCTTGTCTCTACCAAAAAAATAGATAAATTAGCCAGGTGTGGTGGCGCACACATGTAGACCCAGCTACTCAGGAGACTGAGGCAGGAGGATCGCTTGAGGCCACGAGTTTGAAGTTGCAGCAAGCTATGATGAGGCCACTGCACTCTAGCCCGGGCAACACAGTGAGACCCTGTCTCCAAAAAAGAAAAAAATATATATTCAGATGCCGCCAGAAGGACCTCCACAGTCAGATATCACTATGTTCCTGGCTAGCAAAAACCGTTTGCCTAGGTTACCTTCCCATTCAGCCCTTAAGAGGGGTTGACCGGGTCTGGGTCTTGTGGGTCACCCAAGCAGCCGGGTGTGGCTGCCTCCTGCTGTGCTGGGTGCGGGACTGTAGGGCTTCCCCAGCCTGTGCTCCCTGCTACACTTGGCGTTGATGGTTTCCCTTAACTGGTGTTTACATGTCTTCGTCCATTTGCGCTGTTCTAACAAAGTGCTCGGGAGTGGGTAATTTGTAAACAGCAGAAACGTATTGCACACAGATCTGGAGGCTGGGAAGTCCCAGATCAGGGTGCCAGCAGATTCGGTGTCCGGTGAGGGGCTGATCCTCGTAGATGGCAGAGGGGCAAACAAGCCCCCTCGGGCACGAATCCCACTTGTGCAGGCAGAACCTTCGCAACCTCCCAAGCACCCCACCTCTTAATACTACTGATGGGTTTCGACATACGAATTTCGGGGAGGGTACATTCAAGCCATAGCACATGTCGATGGCCATCTCACCGCTTCCCTGGAAAGTCAGTCGGAAACATATGTGCCTTTGATAGTCGCTCACGGCCACAAATCTATTGCCCCAGCCTCTGCTGGCTGGGGAATTCCGCCCGGAGCTCTCTCACCAAAGAAAGAGCTGGCAGCTTCTGCTCCCAGGAATCGTCCTGCCAGCCCCCTTCCCACACTCGGCGTGGCACAGCAGCAGTGTGAGCTGGGAATTTGAAATTCAGGGACATTGAGCCCCAAGTGGGCCCCTGACTGCAGGCCCCCCCCCCACACACACCCTGTCCCTGTCTCCCCACACCCAAAAGGGAGTAAGATCGGAAAGAATGGAAATAATTCTTCATTCATTCCACAACAACTATTGAGCAGGCACGGTGCGCCTGTCCTGTCCTAGAGGCAGGGGACACAGCAGGGAACTACACCGCAAACTCCCGCCCCAGGAAGCTGACACATAGCCAAAGAGGGGAATACCCAGCTTGCTAGATTGTACTAGGAAGTGGGGACGGCATTCCCACCCTAGGAGGCCGGGAGCAGGCAGGGCCGGACCAGACCGCCAGGGCCCCAAGGAACCCTTGTAGGGGCCTGTAGCGGTGTCGGTTAGGGTCAAGGTGGTGCAGAGTGGTTTTGAAGAAGTCAAGGGTGAATCCCAGGGTCGGAGAGAGGATGGCTGGAGCTTCCCTCCGTGGCTGTGTGGAAGGAGGTGTCTGCGTGTTGCTCGTGCGAGTCGCGTCCGCGGGGAGGTCCCATTGAGAAGCTCCGGTGGAGGAGGCTCAGCGCACGGGTGGTGTTTTAGTCCTGCGTTAGCTCTGGCTGCCACAACAAGGTACCATAGATTGGGTGGCTTAAACGGCAGGTGTTTATTTCGTCGCTGTTCTGGGACTTGGCAGTCCAAGGGCAGGGTGCCGGCAGGGTCGAGTTCTGGTGAGGGCCCTCTCCCTGGCTCGCAGATGGCTGCCTTCTCGATTCTACCCTTGTGACCTCGATGAACTTTGCCTCCCAAAGATGCCATCTTCAAATAGGCAGTCGGGCCTTCAGCCTATGGGTTTGGGGAAGGGGCATGATTCAGTCTGTCGCAGAGCTGAGACCGGGCAGGGTCCCCCAGAGGGGAGAGCACTTTCCACCACCGCCCCTCCCAGATGCCAGCTCCGGTGTCACCCCGCTCCAGGCAAGGCCACACGGCCCCGTGTGCAGCACATGGGCTGAACAGGCCGCGTCCCCCTGCCTCCAGACCATGCATTCCACAGTCAGGGCCTTCTCATCTCAGTCTCGGCCTGCCACTGGCAGGGACTTGGCAAATATTTGTTGAGTGACTGTTGGGAAGGCATGGAAACCGCGGCCCGTGCCCTTGAATCTCACTGGGAGACCTGCTTGTGCCAGGGGCCAGCACTAGCGATGTCGGGAGGGTCTCCTCCACCCTGTGGGGCTGGGGGCTGCCTTGTGGCTTCCTGCCCCTCCCCTGCAAGGGGGATTGGTAAGCTGAGTTTGGAGGAGAGATGGTTCTGATGTGTTCTCTGCCCTTGAGAGCAGTCAAGTGGGAGTTAGCATTCTCGGAGGTAAGCGGAGGGCGTGTGGCCAGGGCAGGCTCAGGAGAGGGGCGTCTTCTCCAGCCTGGAGAATTCTCAGAGCAGGGGGTAGCTGAGGGTGGTGGAGGAGGCCACTCCGGGCAGCGTGACATCGTGGGCAAAGGCCTGGCCTCGGTGGAGGGGTGCCAGGCTGAGGGTAGGGGGGGAGCAGTCACCTGCTCCAGGAGCCCAGCCTGGTGGGAATGGAACCGTTGGGTGGTTTTAGAGGCTCGACACTGGACTCTATCCCACCCCTGCCCCAACCAGCCGGTGACCCAGCCAGGTACCCGCTGCTTGAGACCTGTTTCTCCTGGGGGTCCAATCAGAGCTACTGCCTGCTGCGGCTGGTGTGGGTGACAGGCTCTTCGCAGGGCCCGAGGCAGTTGCCCCCCTGAGACTGGACAGGATTGAGACAGTCCCCGAGGGATGGAGGGGTACTCGGGGTGGGTCTGCCCGGCCCCAGCTGCAGTCCCAGGGCTGTCCACAGCCTCACCCCCACACACCCTAAACCCTTGCAGGGTCAGCGAGGTCTCGCGGAACAGCATTCAGACCTCCGCAGCTCACAGACCCGCTGCCCGCTCCCAGGCCCCCAGCAATGTAGAGGGCTGGGGCCTGTGCACACGTTGGCTGAGCCGTTTGTACCAGTTGCTCCTACCACCCGCTAATTGCTGATCAAAGGCTCCAAAGCCCTGGGTGCCAGGCTCTGAAGCTGAGGCACGTTGGGGACCCCAGCCCGAGCGTCAGGTTGGCTCCTGACTTCAGGAGGAGGCCTGGGCTCCACACACGCATCTCTGTCATCTTTTGTCTCCAGAACCTCACAGTCCCCATTACTGGGAGCTGCTTGTGTGCCTTGCGCCTCTCTCAGGGAGGGATCTGGCTACCTGGGACCAGACAAGGTGGCACTGTGGTCCCCATCCCATAGTGAGACAGTCCTAGTATCCAGTTTGGAGGCTGCCTCCAGTGCTTAGGTAACCTGCAGAGAGTGTCTGCAACAGTCGCAGCAAGAGAAGTTAGTGGGATCCCTGGGCATGCCCTCTGTGGTCTGGAAGTGTCTATGTCCCCAGCCTCTGCCCCCACTCCTGCCCCCAACAGCTGCCATGTCCCCAACTCAAGTTGTTTACTCCTACCCTGTGCTGTCTGCCTCTCTCTCTCTCCCCCCATTGTTCTTTAACACGTCTACAAATATTTACTGAGCATCTACTTCTGAGGAACGAATCTTGAACTAAACCGGCCAGGGTACCCACCCTCATGGAGATGGCAGTCCCCTCGGGTGGATAACTACATGCAGCTCGTAAAATGCCACCTGGCCCCAGCTAACTCCCGGCTTCTTGCTGCTCATTCCCAAAGAGATGTCCCTGCTCCCCAGGCCAGGCCTCGCCTGTCACACACCCTGCCCAGGGGTGTTCTCTCATCTCCCTAGCTCCTATTCATCCTTTAGTGGTCCCTGCCACCAAGATCAGCCACTCTGTGACACACTCACCCCAGCTGTAACTAAATCATTCCTGTGTGTTTCCCCGCTAGACAGTGATCCCTGGCTGGGCACAGCCAGTCCTGTTCAGGGCTGTGTCTCCAGCACCTTGGCACGGAGGAGGAGCGGTCCATGGTGGGGGGGGGGGGCGGATCAGTCCCCATTTTGCAGATGAGCAAACTGAGGCACAGAGAGGTGAGGGGCTTTGACTGTACTGCACACCTGTCCTGCCTTAGTCTTCCCCTGGAGGGTGAGCCTGGAGCACCCCTCCAGGAACTGGGTGGTGGCCTCTTCCCCTGACTGTCTTGGTCCTTGCTGTTTGGGCCCCTGTATGGGGAATGGGGGGTGGCTTCAATTTGGCAGCCCAGGGAGGTCCCAGTGCCCTGAAGTGGGTTCTCTGGGCTCTGTCCTTTGGCCACCATGCGATGCCTCGGTTTCTCCTGCCTCTAGAGGGCCGACTCCTGGCCTGTACGGCTCTGAGGCTGGGCTGGGAGGTTTGTGCTGCCAAGTGCCTGGGCATTCCAGATTCCGCCGCCTCTCTCTGATTAGCCTAAGTCATCCGTGTGTGTGACCCGTGTGCTGAGACGGTGATCTTGAGTAGGAGGAAGAGGGAGGATACAGCTGAGGAAAATCTCTGGCTGCCATGCTCAGACTGTGGTTTAAATGTTGCCCCCAGCACTTACTCCTATATGACCTCAGGACAGTCCTTAACTTCCACATGGCCTCAGTATTTCCAGCTGGGAATTGGGAGTGTGAAACCAGCCCCAAAATCCTGCTAAGAGGATTCCAGGAGCTCGTGGGGGTGGTGCGTTGGCTGCTGGTCTGCCAGAGCGTCTGGCACAGACAGTAGTGGCGGCTCTGTAAGTTATGGCTTGAGTTTGCAGGATCAGTCAGTCCTCGGTTTCCAAATGGAGAAAGCAGAGACTTGGAGCTTCTGGTCCTAGGAGCAGGTCAGTGCTGGAGCCAGGACTCAACCTGGGCCCAGAGGTACCTCCGAGCCCTTGGGCACATGCCACTTCTGTTCCTCCAAGCAGCCCATTTCCAAGTAGGGGCCAAGTCTTCATTGTCTTCTTTTCCCAATGCCCAGACCACAGCAGCAGCTCTGCATGGGGTTGCCAATGAATGAGAAAACGGAAAAGATGTGTGAAAGCTAACGGGGAGTGAAGGAAAAAAGTTAAGGTTCATTCTTGCCCCAGGGCCTTTGCACATACTTGTTCACATCTTTCTCCAGCTGGAGTCTCTGCTCAGGCCTTTCTCACTTAGGGAAGCCTTCTCATCCCCGCCCTGCCCAGGCAGGACTGCTGCCCACCAAAGACCTATAGCGTTGCAGAGGGCTCACTTGCTCCAGTGGCAGAATGTATAAGGCCACACCTTCCCTCAAAGTGCTTCACTGACTGCCCCGGAGTGTGGGCACAGCCTTCCCCTCTGCCTGCCTGGCCAGTTCTTCCTGCTGGAAGAGGCAGCTCAGGCTCTCATGCACGTGGAGAGTTGCCCGGCCTCTCTCCCTAGCGGGTCCCCTCACCGGTCAGGGCAGGGGTAGCTCCCCGGACAGCTTAATTCTTCCTCCCCTCCCTGCTAAGCATGTTTGGGTTAATTTGCCTAAATTACATATATATAGTATGATTTCACTTTTTTCATTTTTTAAGACAGGGTCTCACTTTGTTGCCGCAGTTAGTGGCTTCATCATAACTCCCTGCAGCCTCAAACTCGTAGGCTCAAGCGGTCCTCCTGCCCCAACCTCCTGAATAGCTGGGACTATAAGTGAATGGTGTCACCACACCTGGCTATTTTTTTTAATTTTTGTAGAGATAGGGTCTTATATTGCCTAGGTTGGTCTTGAGCTCCTGGCCTCAAGCTATCCTCCTACCTTGGCCTCCCAAAGTGCTGGGATTACAGGCCACTGCACCCAGCCTCCCACTTTTTTTAAAAAAATAATACTATTTTTGCACATAGGCAATTTGTTCACTACGCTCAAAATTCAAAAGACCTAAACAGTGTGCTCATGGTACTTTGTAAGTTTCATTCCTAATTCTGCCCAGAGGAAACCGGTCTCCTTCCCTCCCTCCCTCTCTTTCTTTCATAGCTTTATTGAGATGGACACATCATCCACTTCACCCATTTCCAGTGTATAGTTCATCGGTCAGTAGTAGATTCACAGAAGATTTTGCATTATGTCTAGAATGAACCCCACATACCTTTGCTTTCACTGACTGCCCCCCATTCTCCCCTTGCCCCCAGCCCCTGACAACCATGAATCTGCTTCCTGTCTGCGTGGATTTGCCTATTCTGGACATCTCATATAAATGGGGCCATACGCTACGTGGTCCTTTTGTCTGGCTGCTTGCACGTTGTGTAGTGTTTTCCAGGGACATCCATGTTGTAGCGTGTGTCAGAATTTCCTTCCTTTTATGGCTGAATAATATTCCATTGTATGGATTTGCCACATTTTGTTTATCCATTCATCCGTGGATGGAGCTTTTGGACTGTTTCCACCTCTGAGCTTTTGTGAATAGTGCTGCTGTGAACATTTGCGTGCAGGTTTTCATGTGGACAAGTGTTTTCATTTCCCCTGGGCATAAATCCTAGGAGTGGAGTTGCTGGGTCGTATGGTAACTGTGTTTAACCGTTTGAGGGACTGTCAGACTGTTTCCAAGGCGGCCGCACCATTTTACACTTTTACAAGCAGCGTGCGAGGGTTCTGATCTCTCTTCCTCGTCGACTTTTTGATTCTCACCAGCCTAGTGGGCGTGAGTTGGTATACCGTTGTGGTTTGGATTTGCATTTCCCTGGTGACCAGTGATGTTTTCGTGTAATTTCGTGAGCAGTCATTCAGTCGGTCAGCAAACGGTGATTAAGGCTCGTGTGCTCAGCACTGTGAACTCTGTTGCACAATCAGGTGACTCTGCCTTCTTGGCATTTGCACACCAGTGCCCTGCAAAGGTACCCTGTGCATGCGGTGCTGGTGACAGTTGGCGCTCGTGGGCACTTACTGCATCTGTCCTAGCCACCCTAGGCAAACTCATTTAATATGCAGTTTCACACGGGTACGCCTGCCTTTGCCCGCTTCTCTGCAAGGGACAGCATGTGGCTGCCCTGGTCTGTAGCTGGGTTAGCTGATTGGACAGTGTCTCATAAAAGCAGGTCTGTGCTGGGACAGAAGGGGTTGGAGGGGGCTCCATGCAATTCTTAGAGCCACGGCAAATGTCCCTGCAGCAGGGGAGGTCTGTGAGGACAGGGCCAGGCCAGGCCCAGCGTTCGCCACCTGACCCCGTCCCTCTGTCTCTCCCTGTCCCCCGCGCAGCCGCCGCCATGGCGCAGACCTTGCAGATGGAGATCCCGAACTTCGGCAACAGTATCCTCGAGTGCCTCAACGAGCAGCGGCTACAGGGCCTTTACTGTGACGTGTCCGTGGTGGTCAAGGGCCACGCCTTCAAGGCCCACCGGGCCGTGCTGGCCGCCAGCAGCTCCTACTTCCGGGACCTGTTCAACAGCAGCCGCAGCGCCGTGGTGGAGCTGCCGGCGGCCGTGCAGCCACAGTCCTTCCAGCAGATCCTCAGCTTCTGCTACACGGGCCGGCTGAGCATGAACGTGGGCGACCAGTTCCTGCTCATGTACACGGCCGGCTTCCTGCAGATCCAGGAGATCATGGAGAAGGGCACCGAGTTCTTCCTCAAGGTGAGCTCCCCGAGCTGCGACTCCCAGGGCCTCCACGCCGAGGAGGCCCCGTGGTCCGAGCCCCAGAGCCCCGTGGCGCAGACGTCGGGCTGGCCAGCCTGCGGCACCCCGCTGCCACTCGTGTCTCGGGTCAAGACGGAGCAGCAGGAGTCGGACTCTGTGCAGTGCACGCCTGTGGCCAAGCGGCTGTGGGACAGCAGCCAGAAGGAGGCCGGGGGCAGCGGCAACGGCAGCCGCAAAATGGCCAAGTTCTCCACGCCGGACCTGGCCGCCAACCGGCCGCACCAGCAGGCCCCAGTGGTGGCAGCGGCCCAGCCTGCTGGGGTGGCAGCCGCGGTGGCGGCAGCAGCAGCAGGGGCTGGGGCTGGGGCTGGGGCTGGGGCCGGGGCCGGGGCTGGGCAGCCAGCCAGTGGGGCAGCAGGGGCCGTGGTCAGCGGGCCCAGCACATCGGAGCGGACCAGCCCGGGCACCTCGAGTGCCTACACCAGCGACAGCCCTGGTTCCTACCACAACGAGGAGGACGAGGAGGAGGACGGGGGCGAGGAGGGGACAGACGAGCAGTACCGGCAGATCTGCAACATGTATACCATGTACAGCATGATGAATGTCGGCCAGACAGGTGAGGTGCAACCTGGCTCCCCGCGCCCTCGTCCCTCCACCTGGCATCCCTGCCCCCAACACATGCACGCTGCTTGCTCTTCCTCCGCAGCCGAGAAGGTGGAGGCCCTGCCCGAGCAGGTGGCCCCTGAGTCCCGGAATCGGATCCGGGTGCGGCAGGACCTGGCATCTCTCCCCACTGAGCTCATCAACCAGATCGGCAACCGCTGTCACCCCAAGCTCTACGATGAGGGGGACCCCTCTGAGAAGCTAGAGCTGGTGACAGGTGAGCAGCTGCTTCATCGCAAGTTCTCCCCTCTCCTCCCCAACCTGGGGCCTCGGTGCCCTCGGGGTTGGGCTGGGCGGCTGGCTGGGAGCTGGTGCGCTGGCCAGTGTCCTATAGCAGCTGGTGTCCCAGCGGTACTGCGACGGCGTAGCATGAGTTGGGACACAGCAAAGACTTGCCTCTAGCTTTCTGGCTCTAGGGTCGGCGAGTATCGTGTCGTTTGGCCACAGGCAGGTGGACTAGCTACTTCCTAGGGTGGGGTGAGGGCCAACTACCATAGCTGTAAGGAATACAGCCCTGATGGCTGGGGGTGGTGGCTCCACTTTGGGAGGCTGAGGTGGGAAGATCGCTTGAGGCCAGGAGTTTGAGACCAGCGAGACCTCGTCTCTACTGAAAATAGAAAAATTAGCTGGGTGTCATGGCACATGCCTGTAGTCCCAGCTACTTGGGAGGCTGAGGCAGGAGGATCACTTGAGCCCAGGAGTTTGAGGTTGCTGTGAGCTGTGATGACGCCATGGCACTCTAGCTAGGACAACAGAGACTGTGTCTGGGGAAAAAAAAAATTTGGCCCTGAGGTCATAGTGCCCAGGTGTGAGGCTCCACTGCCCGGTACTCTGTAGCTGGCCGTGGTCAGGGGGCCTGGCATACACGGGTGGTTATGCCAGGCTCACGGCAGGACCTGGCACCCGGCATGTGCCCAGTGAATGGTGACACTCCCCTTCCTGTCCTTTCCTGAGCACTGCCGAGGCAGGGGGCTCCCTAGGAGCCTCACCTCACCGCCCTCAGGGAGAGTGTCGGGGGCTCTGAGAAGCGGGTTGGGCCCAGGCCACGGGCTGGCCTCGTGGCAGCTGCGGTGGCTTGGGAGCGCTCTGAGCCACCCTCCGGCCTCCCCTCGCCAGGCACCAACGTGTACATCACACGGGCGCAGCTCATGAACTGCCACGTCAGCGCGGGCACGCGGCACAAGGTCCTGCTGCGGCGGCTCCTGGCCTCCTTCTTTGACCGGTGAGGCCCCCACCAGCGCCCCAGGGAAGGGGAGCGGGTTGCCCCCTGCCCCCCGCCACCGCCATCACTAACCACCTCCGTGCCCCCAGGAACACACTGGCCAACAGCTGCGGCACCGGCATCCGCTCTTCCAGCAACAACCCCAGCCGCAAGCCGCTGGACAGTCGCGTGCTCCACGCCGTCAAGTGTGAGTGTCCGCGCTGCGGGGGGGCCGGGCCGGGGCAGGCAGACTGCGGTTTTCTCCAGTGTTGGCCCTTGTAGATGGGTGGAGTTTGGTGTTGGGGAGGACTCTGAGGCTCAGTCTAGGCTTGTTGGGAAGCGAGCCGTGATTGGTTAGAGGTTTCTTTGTGCTTGGGATACGGGGTGCCGATGGGAGGTCAGGCAGGAGGGTCTCAAACTCAGGGCGGTGACGAGAGGGACCAGGTGGTGCCAGCCACCTGTCAGGGCGCGAGTCTGGGTTTTCACAGAGAATCTCCCAGTTACTAAATTCTAGCAAATGACTCCAAGCTTTTGAGAGTGCAGGCTGCCCCGTCGATACCCACATACCCCTCCGCGTGGCCAAACTCAGGCATTTGGGGACAGGAGATGTGGTCTGTGGTTTGATGTCCTGGCTGTGTGGCCCCAGTTATCTCCCCTCTTGGGGGGTGGGTCCCAGATGCTGGGGAGGGGGTGGCCTCATGGCAGCCACTCGGCCTGGCACGAGTCGGGGCCTCGCTGCACCTGAGCCGCCCGCCCCACCCTGCCCGCACAGACTACTGCCAGAACTTCGCCCCCAACTTCAAGGAGAGCGAGATGAACGCCATCGCGGCCGACATGTGCACCAACGCCCGCCGCGTCGTGCGCAAGAGCTGGATGCCCAAGCTCAAGGTGCTCAAGGCGGAGGGCGACGCCTACACCGCCTTCATCAGCGAGACGGGCAAGATAGAGCCGGACATGATGGGCGTGGAGCACGGCTTCGAGACGGCCGGCCACGAGGGCGAGGCGGGCCCCTCGGCCGAGGGCCTGCAGTAACCGCCCGCCCTCCCACCCCGGCGCACACTCCCCTCCCGTCACACCCCCGCCCGCCATCTTGGTCACGAGCTACTGTCTGTCCCTCCCCAGGACCCGCGGGGGGTGCTGCATGCTCCCAGCCCCTCTGCCTCCCCTCTCCTCCCCCCTCCCCCCAACACGAGCCAGGCCAGGAGAGGACAGAGGACCCGCAGGGCAGGGCAGGTGGCCAAGGTCCGTGCGCCTTCTTTCACACACTCTGCACACTTGAGCTCTGACTCCTCCCCTCACCCCTCACAATGATGCCCCCACACCCAGGCCCGCCATGGGGAGGGGGCCGGCCTGGGGGGCTCAGGAAGGGCCCCTCCCCAGGCCCTAGGCTGCCCCGCGGAAGCATTCCTCAGCCTCCGTCCTCACTGCAGCCCCTTGGGACTTGAGGGGTCCCCCAGGGGTTCTCAGGACCCCTCCTGCCACCTCCCAGTGCTTCCACATCTCCAAAAGCGCCTTCCTGTCACCCTCGTCTGTCCCTGCGCCTGGGGGCTAGGGTAGGCGAGGCTGTGGGGACTGCCCATTTTACAGCTGGGGAAACTGAGGCTCAGAGAAATTGCACAACTGATCTAAGGCAGCGGGCCCAGTGCCCTTTCTCCTCTCCCTGCCTCTGTTGCCCCCTGTGGGTCCCCTGGGGCCTTAGAGAGGCAAGTCCTAAGGGAGGGGGTCCACTGGGGGCAGACGGAGGGTTTCAGAGGCTGGGGGAGGGTCGCAGGGCTGGCAGAGCGTGTGTGCGTGTGCATGTGTGCGTTTGTGTGTATAGAAGTTTTGCTTTCAGACAAATGAAGATTTAAGAGGCAGTAGGACCAGGGTTGGAACCCAGGGGAGCAGGTTGGGGGCCCCTTCCCTCCATTCCCCCCACCCCACCCTGCCCCACGGCAGGGCTCCAGGCCCCCCACCCCTGTACATAATTTTTAAAACCTTTTTTTAGCGAATGAACTATTGAAGTATAAGATTCCTTTTATTTTTCAAAACCAATGGGACTGTGTCTGATGTCCCCCTCGGCCCGGGGCCGTGGAAGGCAGGCTGGGGCGGGGAGCGGGGGCAGGCTGAATGTGTGCGCATGTGTGGGAGCGTGTTTCTGTGGCGGCGCCCCAGTCCCAGCTGCCACCTGGGCTCCTGCGGGTCTGCCCAGCTTCCCCGTCCCTTGTCCTGGCGGCCACAGGGCTACAGCTTAAGGGTGTCCCAGGCCTTGGCCTGTTGGCTAAGCCCACCTCCTGGGGGCTGGGCAGGGCTGGGCCCACTTCCATTGTTAGCGATTGTTTCCAGAATTTTCTCTTACCATTCCTTTTTTTTTTCCTTGCCCAGAGCGAGTATTTTTATTTTTATTTTAGTTTTACATGTGATCGTGGAGGGTTCTTTTCTTTTTCTGCTCCCCGTTCCCCCATGTGGGGTGTTATTTCGTCATCTCACAGTTGCGTCCCTGGCCCTTGTCCTCCCTGCCTCCAGTCTCCCTCCCCATCGCTCCCAGTGGCCTCTCTAAAGAGGCAGGGCCCGACTGGACCCTCTGAATCTGATTTAGTGACCATCCACCTGACCCTGCAGCCCCGCCAGCCTGCTGGGGGGTCCCTCCTAACATCTGCTTGTTGCAGGGGGTCAGTCCGGGGTGTGGGTGTCTGGCTGGGGTCCTGGCTCTCTGCTGTCCTGGCCCGGCCCCAGCACCTTAACCCCCAGCCGCCTGCCCGAGTCTAGGGGGGGAGTCGACACCCCCAGCTAAAGCACAAGCACCTTAGTCGCCCCTCCCTTCCCCTGCCCTCCTGGCCTGACACCCCACCCCAGCGTTGATCCCAAAGCACAATATCCTGGTCACTTGGCAAGCAGCTGGGCCCTGTGGGGGTCTGGGAGGCAGGCAGGGGTCTCCAGCCAGACCCCCAAAAGGAAGCAGGAGCTCCCAGGCGCTCCCCTCCTTCCAGGCCTTAGTTGGGGGGCAGCTCTCTGGGACCAGGGGTCTTCTCCCTCCCCATCCCCTTGTCCTGGGCAGGCCCCCACCAGCCCCTCCCTGCCTCTTCCTCGGGTGGGGCTTGCCCCTGTCTCCTCCGAGGCCCTGTACCACTGGCTTGGGTGGCAGAGCCCACTTGTTTCAGGGACCCCAGGAGGCGCCCCTGGCTCCCGGGACTGTGTGTGTGGGTCTGGGGGTGGGGGATGGGGAGCGGGGCCGGGCAGGGGGTGCAGGGGAGGAAACTCCTCACCAGGAGAGCCAAAGACAGGGTTGTGCCTTACCCCAGGAGCCCCCAACCCCCTCTCCCTCACCCTCGCCCTGCCGTTTCCCCAGCCCTGGGCGGCCTGCTGCTTTTCCCTCCTCTTCCTGCCCTGCCCGCTCTGAGCTGCATGGTCCCCCAACCCTGGGCAGCCAGGAAGGAACAGGAATAGGGAGTCATCAAAAAAAAAGACTGGGGCCCTCCCCTCACCCCATCCACCTCCACTCCCCTGGCCGCCCACTCACCCACGCCTCTTTCACGCGGGCCGGGCGCCCACCTTGTCCCCGTGAAGTGCCAACGCCCTCCCCGCCCCAGGCCGAGCCCCCACCCTCTCCCCAGCCCCCAAGAGAGATTGCACATTAACTACTGTAAGGAGAGGAGCGGTGTTGGCAAATGTGAACCATGCGGATGTCAGTGATACTGATGAGAATAAACTAAACGCCTTTGTAACAGCCCTGCGCCTGCTGCTCACTGGGGGTAGGGGGGCGACACCCAGAGCCCCCCAACAACTCCGGCTGACGGCTTCCAGTTGCAATGCCCACCCGGCTGCCCCAGCGGGCTCACTGCGCTCCCGCCCGCGGCTGGCCCTGCCTCACGCTTGCTGCCCTCCTGTGCGCTGGAAAGGACAAAAGTTTCCATCAAGAAAAGACACAGGCGCCCTGAGGCCCCACAGATACAGAGTAACACGGGGTTAATTCAAAGTGTGTTGGGAAACACATTTCCCAACCTTGGGCTCCCACCAAGTGACAAAGCAACGTGGGAAGGATATTCACCCACCTTGGGGATCCCACTGGTTTGAAAATCTTTCCCCTGAGATGGAGAAGGGGCCTCCGTCTCAGCCCAAGCTGCGCCCATCCGATCTGCGATGATTTGGGCGAGGGAAGATGGCCGAATGATTCTTCAATTCACAGGGCAACTCGGGTATGTTTCAGCCACCAGAAAGTAGGGGTTTTGAGAGCCAACAGTGTCCCCAACAAAAATCCATCAGTGACTCTAGTCACAAGTCACTTGCCTTTCTAAGCACACAGGCAACTGCAGGTACGCAGAAACCACTCATCTTCCAGAAGTGCTGCTTCCCCCACACACCTTTATTATTATTTTTTTTTAATAAAGACATGGTCTTGCTCTGTCACCCAGGCTGCGTGCAGTGGTGTGATCACAGCTCACTGAACCTCAAACTCTTGGGCTCAAGGTTGGGGTCCTCCTGCCTCAGACTCTTCAGTAGCTGGGACTAAAGGCACCTGCCACCATGCTCAGCCAGTTTTGCCCATTTTTAAATCGAATGTGTTTGCTTGCTTGTTACAATGATCTGTTATTCTTAATTGTGGTTTAAAAAAAAAACGAGGCACCATGCCAGGCAATTTTTTTCCCTAAAGAAACTAGGTCTCTCTGTCGCCCAGGTGGGACTACAATGGTATGATCGTAGCTTCCACTGCAGCCTTGAACTAGACTCAAGCGATTCCCTCACCTCAGCCTCCCGAACAGCTGGGACCACGGGCACGTGCCACAGCACCTGTCTCCAAAAGTGCATCTTTCAACCCGAGAAAGATCCAGAATTAAGTACAGAAAGGATTAAGAGAACCTAGCCCATTAAAAGGACTCTGGGCCAGTGCGGTGGCTCACGCCTGTAATCCTAGCACTCTGGGCGGCTGAGGCGGGTGAATTGCTCAAGGTCAAGTGTTCGAAACCAGCCTGAGCAAGAGCGAGACCCCATCTCTACTAAAAATAGAAAAGAAAATTAATTGGCCAACTAAAATATATAGAAAAAATTGGCTGGGCATGGTGGCACATGCCAGTAGTCCCAGCTACTCGGGAGGCTGAGGCAAAAGGATCACTTGAGCCCAGGAGTTTGAGGTTGCCGTGAGCTAAGCTGACGCCATGGCACGCACTCTAGCCTGGACAACAGAGTGAGACTCTGTCTCAAAAAAAAAAAAAAAAAGGACTGTGTACATGTTTCTTTCTAAGATTTGACAAATTGGCTAAGAGAAGGACATCCTTGTAACAGCACTTTATAATGTGTAAATGAGCAACAGAGATGGCATGGTTTTGATGCCTGATTACATAACTCGTGGGCTGGAAACATCTAATAATCTCAGATGCACAGCACTCGCGGGTTTCCTCCGTTTATGGGAATCACTTTGCACTCAGGAAGGCCCTATGGCTTATCAGAGAGGAATCGCAGTAACTAGGTTTGCAGTGGAACCCAGTGGCATTCAAAAGCCCCTCAGAAGTGACTGTTAAAGTCCCCATCTAAGGGATTTATTTACCTTAGGCACAGAATAAGCAGATGTTCAGAAAGAACTTCAGAAATTCAAGGAAAAGTCAGGGTTTGGAAGTTTCAATAGTAATAAATTATCCATTATTAAAACCAAAAAATAAACCACAGTAAGGCTCTTCCGCACCAAAGGTTAGCCACTGAAATCCATAAAACGCGCACGCACCCACCCCGGGGCTCCTGATGAGACAGACAGTGGCTTAGAATGGGACCCGTTCCAATCAGGGCTCCATCACAAGTTTGTAGTCAACACACCATATGATACAAATATGTACAAAAAAAGGCTGGGATTTTATTTCCAAGTTGGCACATGGAGAAGGCACAGGGGAGACTGGCTTTGGGGCACCGGAAACAGAAATGGGAAGGGGTGTGTCTGAGGTCTCCCTACCTCCACCACCCCCTAAGCGCACTTGACACTGGACCAGGGGCAGGGGGCTCCAGCCCAGGGCCCTGAGGGTCCCACTGGCTCTGGATGAGAGCCTTGGGGACAGCCCCCCAGGCGGGATCCTCTCCTCCCACGGGGCAAGGCCAGCTCAGAAGTGTTTGGCGACTCCCCAGGCATGAGGGACCAGCCCCCCCAGGGAGGGCTGGGGTTAGAGAGAGAAGAGTAGGATTAAAACCACGAGAAGAACTCCGAGCAGCACTACAATGGCACACCACTGCCGGCGGTCTGGGGACAAGAGGGTCAGAGGTCACAGGAGGAGAGGATACTGCCCACAACCTGCCCCTGCCAGGACCTACTGCCGCCGGGGGGACTCACCACTCGTCATGTGGGACACTTTGGCCATCTTCCTGAGGACCCCATCCATCCGGGACTGGGTGTGGTCCATCTCGTGAGCAAAGGCATCCAGAATGCTGCAAAGACCAGGATGGCATCAGCCCCCAAAGGGCCAAAGCACGCCAGGGTGCCCCTGGCCCACCCCCGGGGCCTGGCCTCACATGCCCTGCTCGTCCAGTTCCTCCCCAACGCGGCCAGACATGTGTTTTAGAACCCGGATGCTCCCAGACACCATCTCCAGCTGTTGATCCTGCTGGTCCATGATCAGCTGCAGAGCGGAGGGGCGGCAGGTGCGGTTGGCAGGGACCCCGGCACGGTCTGCCGGCTCTTCCATCCCAGGGCCCCCGGTCACCCGCACACACCTGCTGCGTGGCCTGCTGCTCCTCGATGTAGCGAGAGGTGGCCGAGACTGCGCTGGCATCCAGCAGGTCGCTGGGTGACTTCTGGGTGGCTGGCTTGGCCACCAGCATCTATGGAGACACAGACCCCAGGCTCAGGGAGGGACGCCCACTCACGGCAGGGCACAGCCACACCGTGCATGTCAGGAAGGCAGTCTCTGGGACAGAATGGCCTGGGTTCCCCCCAAGGCCGTTTCATTTGACCTCCCTGTGCCTCAGTTTCCTCATCTATAAAATGGGGAGAGCATTCATCCTTGTTGCCTGGGGTTGGAGTGAGGATTTAATGAATTAATCCATGGGGGACACTTAAAACAGTATCCAGTACACACTAAGTACTAATGAATGTCACCTTTTATTGTCTGTTTGGTTTTTTAAAATTATTTCATAATGGAGTCAGATGGCTGAGTCCGGTTTCCATCACTTAACTAGGTGCATGACCTCAGGCGAGTGGCTCTTCCCAGGGCTGGCTGCAGGCAAAGCAGCAAAGCGTTCAGCCTGACCTAAGTGTTCAGGTGATAGGACACTTACTAGTAGATGTCTGTTAGAGTCTGGCCTTTAATCCCTAAAGTGGCACATCTAGAAGACACGTGGGCACTGCTACAGGATGCCAAACCGATGGGGGCCTCAGCTCCCAGCCCCCACGTGGGCTTATGAGGGGGTGGAGAGAGGCTGATGGTTTGTGACAAGCGAAGAATGGCCACACACAACACGGGAAAGACGGACAGACAGGCAGCAGGGAGAACACAGGCATGCGCACACGCGGGCACAGGGCAGGCGCACTCCCACAGCAACTGGTAGGCATGTTGGGGCAGATGGAGGGAGATGGGGTTGGAGGCCAAGTGCACGCACTTGGACAGGTCAGGTGTGAGCACAGGGACAGGCAGGCAGACACCCTGGAAACAGCAGCACGGAAGCAGAAAGGAGAAGAAAGGTATCCAGCCACCAGCCCTCTGCCCTCCGCTCTCCAGCAGGAAACCTGCACAAGCCCCGAGGAAAAGGTGGAAAGGTCCCCAAGGAAATACACACACAGAGGACTCAGGTGTGCACACCGAGAAAGAGCAGGTAGGTAGACAGCCAGAAGACAACTGCACACAGAGCAGATGGGCGCTGACACAGAAGGGACAGGTGGACACACACACACAGGGATCCGGCTGGCGCTCAAAGGGGTGGGTCACCCAGACAGACTCAGGTGGGCATGTCGAGGCAGGTGCCTTACCTCTCTGTTATTCCTCTCCATGAAGGCTACGGCTGCGGGGCTGACCATATGGTCCTTCATTTCCTGGGGGTGAGGACAGCATTAGGGAGTAAAGACACCCTTAACCTCCCCACAGTCACCCCCGCAGGATCTCTCCTCACCTGGACCGCCTCGCGCATCCGCTCCACGAACTCCTTCCTCTCCTGCAGGTCCCCAGCTGGGAGCTTGAACTTGCCTGGACTGGATTCCACTATCCGTGGGCTAAGAGTCAAGGTTGTCAAAGCCAGGGGCAGAGACCCACCTCCCCCTCCCCTTCCAAGTGTCCGTGGGGCTGGCTCCCAGCGGCCGGGCCTCCCTGCAGTGGGCTCTCCCATGCCACCCCCCATCAAAAGCTCCAGGATATCAATGGTCTCTTCCAGGTCCTCGAGGTCCCACTCGATGCTGCGCAGGCCGTTCCGCAGCTCATTGGTGGTCCAGTCCAGCTCCTCGCGTCCCACCGCCGCGCCATCCTGTAGCAGCTCGCACCAGCGCTGGTGCAGCCCGCGGGCCGTGTTCACCGCCTTCTGCACCTCGCTGCAGGCAGGGGCGCGGCGGGCGCAGTTGGGGACCGGCGGTCCTGCCGCCCGCCCTTGCCCCCTGCTGAGCCCCCAAACTCGGGAGCCCCCCATATCCCCCTGGCGTACCCCTCCCACTCGGCCGCAGGGCGACCCATGCCCCCCGGCCGTGCCCAGCCTGCCTGGCACGCTCTGGCCGGCACCCAGGCACTGGCTGGCTCGGGGATTGAGCACCCTCCGCCTTCCCCCATCGCGGTCACTCACCCTCGGACTACGAAAAACGGGTCTTCGAGAGACATGTCAAGCCCCCCTCCCCCCAGGCCGAACCCTTCTCCCCGCTCGGGTTTGCGAGCAGGTTCCCTCCCCGCCGAGGAGGACGCGCCGCCTCCCCGGCCCCTGGCCCCGCCACGCCACCATCGAGAGCGGGGCCGCCAAGGGAGAAAGAGAGGCCTTGGAGGCCCGAAATGCGGAAACTTCCGCCCTCCCTGCGGCCATCTTGGTTGTGGGCAGAGCCGGCTTCCGGCCCGCATGCTCCGCCCCTCCGCCGTCGCGTGCCTGACCCGGGCAACGTCCTAGTTCCGTCTGGCTGGGTTTGTGTCGGAGCTGGGGATCTCGGTTCGAGACCCAGCGCCTCGCCTTGTTGCGGCGCCACCTCAGTTTCCCTTCTGGGCCATGTAAATAATAACAGCCTCCCTTAACTCAGACGGGAATGTGGCTGCGGGAGGGGTTCTTGCGATCGCGGAATCTTTGAACAGACTCCCTGGGCTGGCGCCGGGGTCCCGTCCCGGGGGGTCGTCCCAGCCCGGGGTCCCGAGTGGCAGGCTTGGGGAGGGTTGCGGGGAGAGGTGGCCTTCCGCCTCCCTGCAGGGCGGGTGAGGAGCGGGAATTCTCCCGCGGGGAGCTCTGAGACTCCCCGCTCCTCTCTTTCCCGCACCGGGGGCGCGAGGCGACTTGGGGTGCGCGGGCGGGGCGGCTGAGCGCGCCCGGAGACGCCCGTGGCGGGCGGCGCCGCTCGGAGCGCGCGGCGGGGCGGCAGGCGCGTCCGTCCAGGGCGCGGAGTCTGAGCGCGGGCGCGCGGGAAGGGGACAGCTTCGAGGGCGGTCTCCGGGGGGCGGTCCCCTGCGTGTGGGACCTCGGTCTGGGAGGGGCTGCAGGGTCACCCCCTGTGTGAAAGAGGCGCCCTGTGTGAGGTCTCCGGGAAGGCGCTTTTCGGGGGTGCTCGTCCGAGCTGAGGGTGGCAGCGGGGCTGGTCTCCCCCGGAGGGTGGTGGGCGGGTGTCGGGGAGTCCTCGGCGGGTCGCCCCCGTGCGTGCCGCGTCGCTGTGGCTGTGTGGGGTCTCGGGACAGACCGCGCCTGGGCGGGGATGTCTCTGCGGTGTCTCCGAGGCGGTCAGGGGGCGGGGAGGGGGCGTCCTCTGCAGGTCGCCGCAGTGTGGCAGCCTCGCTCACCGGGGACAGGTTTCGGAGGGCTCTTTGAGGCGGGAAGAATAGTTGAGCCCTCACGTGGGGGCGGCGCGGGGCGTGGGGTGGGGCTGGCAGGGAATATCGGGGGTCCCCGTGGGAGGGGAGGGACGAGATGAAGGTGTCCCCATCGGGTCGCCTCTCGTGTCGGCTGGCTGATTGCCTAGGGTCTGGAAGACATGGCGTCAGTGGGAGCCCTGAGGTCGCCCCTACCCGCTGCGGGGTGTCTTCCCGGCATCGCGCCTTCCTGGCCCCGGAGGGAAGGAAGTGAAACCTCCTCTCCCATCCCGCCCGCCCGTTTGGAAGCGGCTCAGGAAGCCCGGGGCTCCAGCCAGACCCGGGCGGCCGGGAGGGGCGTGTCCAGAGTCTTGGCCCCGCCCCCGGAAGTCCGCCGCCTCCCGCTAGCGCTGTGTCCCGGCCCCTGCCCTTATATGGGCAGCCGGAAGCGGCTCTGGCGCCTGCCCTGCGTCACTCTTTCCAAATTTAGCCGTGGAAGTCAGCCCGCGCCGTGGCGGGAAGGGTCTGCGGGCGCGTCTGGCGGAGGAGGGGGGGGGAAGGGCGCCACTTCTTAAAGGGCCCGCACCACGAATGAGCGGATGTATTCGAACGAATTTTTCCATCCTTTTTTCGAGGGATTGGATTTAGGTTTTCTTGGCGGGATGGCCCCTAGTGGAGGACGGAGCCAACGCTGTCTATCTGCTCTTTCTCTACGCCGCTCAATTTCCAGCTCCTGTCGGAACCCGCCTCCCGGGGCGCGGAGGCGGAGCGCCGCCCCTGCAGTCTGGGGGGCGGCAGCCACGTGTTCCCGGGGACTGCCTTGCGGCTGGGTCCGCCGCCGCGCAAACGCCACGCCCGCCGTGCAGCCCGTGTCTCAGGAAACTCGGGGGCGCGGTGCTCGGCTCAGAGCTGCAGCCCGGGCTGCCCGCCGGGTGGGCAGTTTCGGAAGGAGGACGGCCGGCGTGCACGCACGGTAGACACAGAAGACCTGGTGGCCCCCTTTCACTGCAGTAGCCCATTTATTCGTTTAGCAAGTATTGGGCGAGTGACTCTCTGCCGTGGTTTCGCCACCTGAAGAAAGCAGATATACTCAGTGTTAATATCAACACTGTATTAATAAAAGGAGTTAATAATAAAAAGCTATTTCATAAAAGGAAAGTGTTGCAGCGCCTGGCACGTAGTAAAGTGTGTCGTTTATTGATGCAGAAAGCATTCGTTAGACGCCTGGCAGATGCTAGGAGCAGTGTCCACGAGGATACGTCAGCTCGACCTGGGTCTTCCCGGGTACGAAGGGAAACTTGCCGCCTACGACCCGCTGGGGCCTCCAAGCATGTGGGTGGGCCCTGAGCCCCACCCCCGGGCCCCCATCCTGGGCCTGCGCCGGTGCATAGGCAGAACTCAGAGGAAGGAGACCACCCCGAGAGTTCAGCGTGGAGTGGGGGACGCTCCTCCTTGCCCGGCTTTCAGTCCCTTTCCCTCGCTGGGTAAATTGCACCCTGTCGCTTTAAGGAGTCTCTAGCCACGGAGCGGTGGAAAGCCCGGATGCGGCCTTCTGATTGGGCGGGGCGTCTCCGTGACGTCATCCGGGGTATAAAAGGCCCCGGGTGGCGGGCGCCGGGGCACAGCGTCCTGGCAGTGTTACTGCGTGGGTCGGCGCGTGGAAAGAGGCGTGAGCCAGCCCGTTGTCCGCGGTGCACCTGCCGCCCGTCCTGTCCGTCCCGCGAGTCCCCGTCGAGCCGCTATGGAGGTGCAGAAGGAGGCACAGCGCATCATGACCCTGTCTGTTTGGAAGATGTACCACTCGCGCATGCAGCGCGGTGGCCTGCGGCTGCACCGGAGTCTGCAGCTGTCGCTGGTCATGCGCAGCGCCCGGGAGCTCTACCTCTCCGCCAAGGTGGAGGCCCACGAGCCCGAGGTGTCCTTGCAGCCCGCCCGCTCCCCTGACCCTCGCCTGCACCCGCTGCGGGAAGCGGCAGCCGAAGCCGAGGCAGCGCCCCTCGACGGTGAGCAGCCCTCCCCGGAGCCCATGGACACGCAGGAGGCGCCGAGAGCCGAGGAGGCCCCTGCCCGTGGGAGCCCGCGCCCCGCCAAAGTCAGCCGCAAACGGCGGAGCAGCAGCCTGAGCGACGGAGGGGACGTCGGACTGGTCCCAAGCAAGAAAGCCCGTCTGGAAGAGGAGGAGGAGGACGAGGTGGCGTCCTCGGAGGACCCTGATCGCCTGCAGCCCTCGCCGGCGCTAGCGGAGGGCGCCTTCCCCAACCTGGCCCGCGTCCTACAGCGGCGCTTCTCCGGCCTCCTGAACTGCAACCCCGCGGCGCCCCCGACGGCGCCGCCCGCGTGCGAGGCGAAGCCGGCCTGCCGCCCGGCGGACAGCATGCTGAACGTGCTCGTGCGGGCCGTGGTGGCCTTCTGAAGCCCCTGCGCCGCGCTACTGGAGCCCAGAGCGCGGGTCCAACCTTTGGCCCGAGTGCGCAGATCCGAGGCGAGGCCCACCCCCGGGGGAGCGCCCGCGGAAACCGTGGAGAGAAGCCGCCGCCCGGGCTGCTGAAGAGGCCCGGAGAGGGACTCTGCCCCCGGGGAGCCGTCGCCTTCGGTGTGCAGCGACGGCACCGAGGAGCCTGAGCCGGGGGCGCGGGCGCCTTCCGCCGAGACCTGGCGCGCCCACAGGTGCTGTCTTAACGGACTGGGACGTGGACCTTTCCTCCTCCTGGACTGGAGAAGGGAGGCCTGGTTCTTTAACTTCCTCAGGGTCGGACTTTGTTTTTCACTGGGGGCTGTGCTGCCCCTCCAAGGGTTTTCGGTAGTCGGGGTTTGCGTTTCCAAGCCCTGAGAATTCCCCGCACTCCCCTTCCCCCGCCGCTGACATACTTGCGCGGGCGGTCACCGTTGCGTCATGGGGCAGACGCGGGGAGCTTCCTGTTGCCTTGCGTGGGTGTGGGGCCTGGGAGGGTCCGGGTGTGGGCCTGCCCTGGGGAGTGGGAGGAGAGTGGCCTGAGTCACCTTGCCCGGGGGCGCTCTTGGTGAGTGCCACGCGCCCCCGAGCCTGCGGGTGGGAGCAGCAGGGTTTGAGATTCAAGATTTTCTCGTCTGGTGCGTTAGAGGTGGCGAGTCTGTTCCCAGTTCCAAGCGTGACCCTCCCCGAGACTCACGGACACAGTTAACCCGGACGCTCCCGGTCTGAATCCCGAGAACGTGGAGCGGGTGTTCGAAGCACTGTAAGGTTAAGCTGGGACCAGCTACTGGTGGTGACACTGGGCCAGTTTTGGGAGGGGAGGGATTCTTGCCGGCGAGTTTCCGAGGATCTGTTTACCTTCCCAGTCGTGGATTCTTTCAACTCCGTCTACCTGGCGTTTTGTTAGAAATGTCAGATAGGAAAATAAAGACCATTTGAGTAAAAAGTCGGCTGTCTGGTTTTCTTCCCTGCTGGGGGAGGGGCAGGGTTAAAGGGTCAGGCGCTGGCGGCGCGCGCTGGGGCCCCAGGAACCGGCCAGACCGGTTACCACGTGGGCGGGAGCGGGCCGGGACCCCTTTTCTTTGCCCCTGCGCTTCCGTGCTCGTGGCGCCCCACTCGACTCCCCGTTAACCCCCTGAGATCTGGGGGTTCCCTCGGAATTCCCCTACAACTCGGGGCAGTGGGCAAGAGGGTTTTAGGGGCTTGGGGAGACTGCCGGGTACCGTGACCCAAGCGGAGTTGGGGATCACACCTCCTTTGGAACCTTGAAAGGTGGCAGGTCTTGCCCCCCACCCCCACTCCCACCCCCAACCAACTGAGTCAGCTCTGCTGGGAGTCCCCCGCCCTGGGGTGGAGCTGAGCGGGACATCTTTCAAGTGCCCTTAATACCCCAATTCCCATCTCTGGAAGCATAGCTGTGTGGCTGAGGCAGGGAGGTGAGCTCGCAGCCTCAGTTTCCTCACCTGTCAAATGGGCCTCTAAACAGCTTTCCCACCAAGCTTTAGGTTTAGAAGTGCCCGTGAGAACCCTAGTTATTGGCTTGGGTCACGCCCAGCTCCAAATTAAGCCACTCCGAGAGGAAAAACCCTTCTAGTTTCCCCCACTCTGGTTCACGAGAGGGGCTGTGGGCGTTGCCCCAGGGTGAAGGGAGTGGGGACTGCGGAGAGGACAAAGGAGCCGCAGGTGCGGGGAGTGGTGGCGCCGGGAAAGCGCCCGCCCCGCCCCCCGACGGCTGGCTGGGCCGGCGCTGGCGTCCCGTGACCCTCTGGGGACCTGACCCAGAGGCCCGGCCCGAGGGGAGGAGGGGACGGCGGAGGGGCCGCCTGATTCTTCCAGGAACGTGTGGGGGAGTTTAGCACCACCCACTCAGAGTCCCAACCCAGAAGTCCCCAAGGGGACGTGGGAGCGCAGGAGCCCCACACCCCAGCCGGTAGCTCAGTGCGTCCGTGTCGCAGCCACTCCGCTACCAGACTGGCCCTGGGAAGTCCCCAGCGGCTGGGGAGGGGGCCTCGCCGCGCATCCTGTCGCAGGAACCGCCGGGCCCTTCCTTCCGCGGGAAGCGACTTGGCCCGGGCCGCCTGGGGGTTTCCGGTGCCCGACCACGGGGGCCCGAGGTGATGGCAGAGAGGATCCGGCTGGGACAGGCACCCTACACACACAGCCCCTTAACATATACCCCTCTCCGAGGCCCCATCTGACCCACAGGAATAGGCAGAATTGAAAACTTGTCACAACAAGCCCCACTGGTGAGGCCTGGAGTAACTGATTGCACAATAGCTGTGAAAACTAAAAAGGTCATGTACCCCATGACCAGGAGGTTCCCCAGGGAACCCCAGGCCTGCGAGGGGAGGCTCCGGCAGGGCGTTTGCTGCGGGCACGGTACCAAGTTGACACAAACTGGAAAGAGCCTCCGTGCCCATCTGACCAGTCCAAGGTGGACTATCGGGGGCTCCGCCCAGGAGGATAAGAGGCCGAGCCAGACACTTCTACACGCAGGCAACCCAGGTGACTCAGAACCCTGCGTGAGGGACAAAGGCCAGCTCTGCAAGCCTGCTGTGCAGCCCTGAGCAAGTCACTTCACCTCTCTGGGCCTCAGTTTCGCTGGCTGTGAATTGAAGATAATAAAAGTCTCTGCCTCCTTGCAGGAATCAAGTGAGATCATGCATGCAGCAGAGTGCCTGGCACACCGAAAACGTCATATGTGCTATTGTTTTATTATTGTTAGCGCTTAGGGTGTGTTAACGGTGCGGGACGTTTAAAAGCACATGCAGAAATACACATCTAGGCTGGGCACCGTGGCTGTGGCTCATGCCTATAATCTTAGCACTTTGGGAGGCAGGGGCAGGAGGATCACTAAAGCCCTGGGGGCTCAAGACATCAGGCTGGGCAACATAGCGAGACCCCCATCTCTACAAACAAAAATAAGAAAAAAGAGCTGGACATGGTGGCACACATTTGTGGTCCCAGCTACTCAAGAGACTGAGGCAGGAAGATCGCTTGAGTCCAGGAGTTCGTGGCTGCAGTGACCTCTGATGGTGCCACTGCACTCCAGCCTGGGTGACAGAGTGAGACCCGTCTCCAAAAGTAAACAAATAAATGCTACCTCTCTACAGACCCTCCACCCCAATTTAGCTGAAAATTTAGTCCTGAGCCCACTCCCCCAACCTCCAGACTTCCTTGAGCAGCCCCTCTCCCCTGATGTCTCCTCCAGGGGGTCTGAGGTATTCCAAATGTCCAGGAGCCAAAGGAGACTCTCGCTGCTTCCTGCCACCCTGTCCTCTCTGTGACAATGGCAGTGGCGGCCTTCCAGTGGAGAGATCCTCCTTGACTCACTATGTCTCCCTCCCTCAGGCCCACTCCAGTGGCTGGTGCTGTCAGCTTGATCTGTCACCCGACTCCAAGCCTTCCCCTACCTACACGGCTCCTATTCTGTTGTGAGCGGCCTTCACCTCTCGCCTTTACCAGCCTGGTGACCCGCACCCTGCTTTTGTCTCCAAAATCTATTCTGTACAACAGCTGCACTGACCTTATACAACACCAATTGGATCATTTCACTGATCCAGGTCCCCCTCCGCTCCATCCACGCTGACCTCCTTTCTGCTTTCAGAACACACCAAGTGGGTTGCAGCCCCGGGGCCTTTGCACTTGCTGTTTCTTCTGCCTGCAATGCAGGGTTTCTACTGAAATGTCACCTCCTTGGGAAATCTTTCTTTGGCCGCCCGATCTAACATAGCACTGCTCACTGCCTGAAATGCTATGTTTTATTTAGCATCCACACCGCAACTCAAATGTCAATTCCACCAGTGCCCTGCCCAGGCCTGAATGAGTGAACGAGGTTGTCTCAGGTAAACAGGTGCTAAGTGTTTAATATTTATCGTCTCATTTAATCAATGGCTTTCCCATGGCGCTTAGAATAGAATTCCCCAAAGCTCAGATGGTTGAGGGTCAGGATATTTGGGATATCTTCATAATGATCGTACTATTACTATTATTATTATTTGAGACAGAGTCTTGCTTTGTTGCCCAGGGTAGAGTGAGTGCCATGGTGTCAGCCTAGCTCACAGCAACCTCAAACTCCTGGGCTCAAGTGATCCTCCTGCCTCAGCCTCCCAAGTACCTGGGACTTCAGGCATGTGCCACCATGCCCGGCTAATTTTTTCTATATATTTTTAGTTGGCCAATTAATTTCTTTCTATTTATAGTAGAGACAGGGTCTCACTTGCTCAGGCTGGTTTCAAACTCCTGACCTCAAGCAATCCACCCGCCTCGGCCTCCCAGAGTGCTAGGATTACAGGCGTGAGCCACTGCGCCCGGCCCGTACTATTATTTTATTTTTATTTTTTTTAGAGACTGGGTCTCGCTATGTCTCAGGCTGGAGTGCAGTGGCTATTCACTGGTGTGATCATAGCTCATGTAGCCTCCAACTCCTGGCCTCAAGCGATCCTCCTGCCTCAGCCTCCTGAGTAGCTGGGACTATAGGCACATGCTACCTGGCCCAACTAAGCTAACTGTGCTATTATTTACCTAATATTTTTCTCTGACTTAACCCACTTGTTAATCACTCACCATACTTAGAAAGTAATCTTTTAAAAAGTTACAGTGAAAACAAAACAATGTTATCAAATGTATTGGAATTAAAAAAAGAAAGCAAAACAAAACAATGCCACATGATCTTGCTGAAACAGTAGCCAGTGAGTTACTATGACAGATTAGCCAATGTCAAAGATACATTGTTACCAGAGGAAGGCGACTATCCTTGGGCTGAGAAGGATACAAGCTGAAAAGAGAGAAACAGAGGGGTTCATTCTATGCTATTTAAATAACATTGAATCATTTTGCCACACTGTCCCAGAGTTTAGAAAATTCTGCTTCTGGAAGAGGGACAAAAACTCCCACAATTGTCTGCAAGGCCCAGCTTGCTGGAGGCCCAGCCCATTTCTGGCCTAATCTTGCATCACCCCCGGGGCCACACCACAGCAACTGTGCATTTTGTTCCTCATACTTCTACAATCTCCCCAGCCACAGGGCCTTTGCACAGGCCGAGATATCCTCCTAGAGATTTTTCACTTCCTTGTTCACCTAGTTAAGGCAGCTCAGCTCAAGGGGCAAATCCTCAGGGAAGTGTCACCTGTCTGCTCCCCATTTTGGCCCAAGACCCCTATATTTATTGACACTCAGAACAAGAGCTACTTTTTAAAAATTTTTTGGCAAGATTTATCACAACTGTGATTTTACTTTTGTTTCTGGGTTTATCTCCTCTTCCAGCCTGTCATCGATCGTCCACCAAGGGGGGTAGGAACTGAGCGTAGCAGGTGCCACTTAGTTAACTTAAGTGGCTTTTGTGAATGAAGATGCATCTGCAACCTTCCTTTCAGGTCTGTCCTATTAGCTTCCACTTTTACAGATGGGTAAACTGAGGCCCAGAGTGGATCGCCCTGCAAGAAAGTAAGGGGCAGTGCTAGTCCTGTCCCCCATCCCGATGTCGCCCTTCCCGTCTCCTCTGCCCGGCTATGCGGGACACGGGAGAAGAGTGCCCCAGTTCAGGCTCTGAGGACCTGGGAAAGGGCCGGGCCGCAGGTCGGGACCAGCCCAGAAGCGGCACCCAGACCGGTTCCTCCGGTTCCAGGACTCTGGGCGAGGTCCAGCCGCTCGAGGGAGGGCGCGACTCAGGCCTCGCCGTGGCCCACTTGCTTGCCAGGCGGGGCAGGGACCGGATCGTCGCGAGGGAATCTGAGCCTGAGCCCGGGGCGCCGGAGGTGAGCAACTTAGTCAACGCGCGGGGCGGGGCAACCCGGTGCCAATCACAACCGAGGGGGCGGGGTCATGCAAATCAACCCCGTCTCCGCGCCCCGCCCCCGCGCGCTGCAGCAGCGACTTCCAAGAACTCCCCGCGCCGTCCTTGGCCCGGGCCACGCCCCTCGCCCGCAAACCGGTCACTTCCGGATTCCGCCCAGACCCTCCGCGCCTGGCCCGCCCCCGCCCTCCCAGGGCCACGGGGGCGGGGCTTACGGGCAGCGCGCGAAGGCGGAGGCGGAGGCTGCGCCCCGGCCTGGGGCGAGAGGGGCTGGGGTGTCGCGGCTTCTGTACCGCCCGCAGGGGTTCGGCTCCAAGTCTGGTAAACTGGCGCGAAGGCGGACGGGAAGTGGAGCTTGCTGGGGTTTGGGGCTCACGCTACCCACTTTGGCCTGGGGGGTGCTGAATGCCCCCACCTGTGTTCAGGAGAGCTAGACCTCTCTCTCCTGTGTCCAGGGGAGCCCAGAACCCTCGCACCGGTGTCTGGTGAAGCTCAGACCCACACACCTGTGTTTTGGGGCGCCCCGACCTTCCCCACCTGTATCCAGCAGAGTTCAGAGCCCCCCACCTTTGTTCAGGGGACCTCAGACCTTCCCCACCTGTGTCTAGGGGAACCCTGAACCCCAAAGCCGTGTCTAAGGGAGCCCAGAATCCTCACACCACTGTCCGGTGGAGCTCAGACCCACACGTCTGTGTTTAGGGGAGCCCAGATCTTCCCCACCTGTGTCTAGGGGAGCCCTAACCCTAATTAGAATAGAGCTAGCTTCCAACCTTTCATATCTGTCTCCCCAGGCTCGGCCCAGGATTTCCTCTGCCCACCACCGTGTCAAGAGGAGCTCGGGTCTCCCTGAATTTGTGTCCAGGAGAGCTGACTCCCCAGGGGCTGCTCCCTCCCCTGGCCCTTTTTGGGGAAGCCCAGCCCAGCTGCCCTTCCCGGCCCTGTCTTCCACCCTCCCGGACCAGTTGGCCCCAGGTCACCCCCACTCCCCGGCACACTGTAGAGTCTCAGGAAATAACGTCAGCCTTCACGCCCCCCGCATCACCACCAGCCAGCCTGGGGTCCTGCCTCCCCAGCCGTCTGGCCACTCGCCTGGCACCAATTAATTTCCTGCTCAGCCAGTCCACCACATCTGGTAGCCAGCTGCTCGCCGTAGCCCTGCCCTCCCCAGGGGCTCCCGGGGAATTGCTAACAGTTCTCGTCTTCCCGGCTCCACCCCTCCCCCAATCCAGGGACCCCACCCGAGTCTGCTAATCGGAAAAAGCTGACAGTGCCCGGAGCAGAAATGAGAAATCAGTTGGAGGAGGGGTGGGTGAGAAACTTTCGGACCCAGCTCAGGGTGGGGGCGGAGGTAGGGGAGGCCGTGGAGGGAGGCACGGGACCGAGTTGTACCTAAAAGCCTGAGATCAAAGCCTTCTGGCTTCCAGATGGGGACTTCGGGGAGGGCTGTCCCGCCCCCCAGGGGCAGGCGAGGTGGAGCCCCCCTTCCTCGGAAACCCCCTGAGACGCAGCAGTGACAGCTGTGACTTCCCCGGCCTGGGACCGGCCGGTTTCCTTTTCCTGAGCTCGCCCTCCCAAGGGCTGGCTTTCAGCCTGGAGAGACCTCCGGGCCCCTTTGAAGGGGGTCCCCAGAGGGTCTTCCTGGCTGGGGGGAGGGGCGGGCTGGAGAACAATGGGGCTTCTGTGGCTCCTGGACGCCGGGCGCTTCCTGTTAACCCTTCCCTGGGGGGGGCGCTGCAGGGAGCGCCTCCCAGGCCCCTCCTTGCTGGGGCAGGGGGACTCGTGTTGGGAGAATTAGCGGGCGTGTTAATTGAGGCTTGGTGAAAGTGATGAGGAACTGGCCAGGTGAATGCAGACCTTTTCCTCTTTGGAGTCAGTCACTGGGCTTTCTCCTCCATTGCTGGGGGTTATCCAGCCCCGGGCAGGGCAGGGCAGGGCAGGGCCAGCCCGGGAGGGGCCTCTGCACTGAGCCTTGACGAGTCTGGGGCTGCACCCCGACAGGTTACCCCAGGATCTCTGGGAGGCTGGACTGCGATGGAGTGGGGACGGCCCAGGTAAGTGCAAGGAACAGCCACGTCTGCAAAGCACTGTTGGAGCTGCCTTGCTGGGGTTCAACAGCGGCCACGCCCCCTGAGCCGGTTCCCCCAGCAGTCTGGGCCTCAGTTTCCCTCAGCGTGGGGAGTTCTCCCAAGAGCACAAGATCAGTCCAGGAGCTCCCTACGGGGCTGGAGTGGACCAGGAGCCTTGGAAACAAATGGCTTGCTCCTCCTTGCAGCCCCGGGAAGTCACGTTGGGGGAATTAGCTGGTGTGTTACCGGAGGCCTCACCCACAGTCCCCTGTTGACAAAGACAGGCTGAGAATTGCCCTCCGAAGATTCCCTGAGCCTGGAAGGGCCCCCAGAGACTCAGCATCCGCCCCAGGGGCTTCCGGTCGGTTCCAGGCTGGTCAGAAGAGACACGCGGCTCCCTCACGTAGTCACCTCGTCCCCACTGCAAGCCCGGGTCAGGATAAAACCGGGCACTTTCAGTTAGCTCTGTTTTACAGATGGGGAAATCGAGGCACAGGGATTAAGCGACATGTCCTGGGTCATTAGTTTAGTAAAGCAAAGCCCATTGTTTCTCTTCCTCTCTTTGATTTTTAATTTTCTTTTTCTTTTTTTCTTTTTTTTTTTTTTGGAGGGTGGAGGGAACTTTGTCCTGGCCAGTGGGCTTTTGCTTAAACCCTGCCTGATCTCTGGTTCTCAGGTAAGGAAAGAGAGCGGTGACAAGGGGGTGACAGCTGCCCCTGGGGTCTCGTCATCTCCGAGCCGCCTTTTTTCTGGCAGCTGATCTTGGACTGGTTTGCTGGGTGGCTTTGTTGCCTCTTCCCTGTCGTGTCCGGAAGGTGAAACCTTGCCCGGGGGCCAGTCTGTGCACGCCCAGCTCCGGGGCTTTGAGAACAAGGTCTGTTGGTCTGTTTGTTTGTTGGTTTGTTTGTTTGTGATCATTATTTACTGAGCAGAACCAAACTGCTAGACTGGAAAGGCCGCCGCCAGCCCCGCTCGGTCCCCTCCCTTGCTGGCCGTCTGGAAGCAGCCCGGGCTTGGCCGCGCGCAAGGGAAGCCAGACGCCTCATCGCTCCGCCCTTTAGACCCGAGGGCGGGGAGGCCGCGTCCGGAGGCCGCGTCCGGAGGCCGCCCAGGCCGGGGCGCGTCGCAGGCCGGAGGGGCCCGGCCCGCCCTTCCGGGACGAAACTGGCTCTGGCTTCTCCCCACCCGGAGACCGAAGCGAGCCCCGCCCGCGGCGCTCGGGGCCGCGGCTGGGCCGGCGCGCGGCTCTTGGGTCCCTGCCCCGCCTGGCGCTGCGCCCGGGGAGGCGGCGGGGTCCCCCGCGCGACGCTCGCTGAGCCCCCGGTGCTCTCGGAGTCCCCGCAGACGCCGCCTTAGAAGCAGCTCCTGGAATTTTCTAGGCGCTGCCACGTCGTTGGGGACGAGGAATTCCCTTCTGAAAGGGCTGGATGGAAAGCCAGTTTGGAGGGAGAAACTGAGGCCGCGGGAGGGGGCGTGCCCTGGTGCTGCCAACGGCTGCTTTTCTCTCTTTCTTTCCTTTTTCTTTTTTATTTATTTAAAAAATTTTTTTTTTGATTTCAGCATATTATGGGGATACAAAGGTTTAGGTTACATATATTGCCCTTGCCCCACTGAGTCGGCTTCAAGGTGTCCATCCCCCAGACGGTGCGCACCGACCACCCATTAGGTGTGTAAACACCCATCCCCTCTTCCCCCAATTTTTTTTTTTTTTGTGCGTGTGTTTTTTTCTTTTTGACTGAGTCTTGCTCCTGTCACCCAAGCTGGAATGCAGTGGTGCAATCACAGCTCACTGCAGCTCCAACTCCTGGACTCAAGTGATCCTCCTGTCTCACCTCCCAGGTACTGGGACTACAGGCATGCGCCACCATGCCGGCTAATTTTTCATATATTTTTAGTTGGCCAATTAATTTCTTTCAATTTTTAGTAGAGAGGATCTCGCTCTTGCTCAGGCTGGTCTCAAACTCCTGACCTCAAGCAATCCTCCTACCTCGGCCTCCCAAGAGTGCTAGGATTACAGGAGTGAGCCATTGCACCCGCCCCAGCCTGGTCTTGAACTCCTGGCCTCAAGCGATCCTCCTGCCTTGGCCTCCCAAAGTGCTGGTGGCACTACAGGCGTGTGCCACCACACCCAGCTAATTTTAAAAAAATGTATTGTTTTATAGATGTGGCCTTGCTATGTTGCCCAGGCTGGTCTTGAACTCCCAGCCTCAAACAGTCTTCCCATGTTGGCCTTTCAAGGTGTTGAGATGACAGGCCTGAGCCACTGCCCAGCCAGTCTGGGAGTCTCAAGCTCTCTCTGCTTTGCTTTGCATCTCTGCCGGCCGCAGCGGATGCTCTGAGGGCCCTGTGGGGGGAGTGTGCGTGGGGACCTTTGTCCACTGAGTGCTCAGTGGTGTCGTTGTTTTCCTCGCCTGCCTTTCTCCCCAGGCTGTCCCTCTTTCTCCTGACTCCCTGGACATGCCTGGCCTGCAGGGGTGGGGGAGGGATACACATCGCCCAACCGCGCCCCTGCCACTGGCACAGTGACTAAGCCAGCCCCATGGCCTCACATCCCCAGCTGGGGCCTGGGTTTCTGGTTGGACTGGGTGGGCAGGCCTAGCCTTCTCCACACCCAGAGCTGCCTTGTCCGGGCCAGCCGGTGCCCTCCGGCCAGGCAGATGCCACATGGGGCTCCTGGGAAAATCTCACCCCACCCTCAGTTTGTCCCAGATAACCCCTAGTGTGCCAGCCCCTTGCTCTCAGCGACTCCCCTCCTTGCTGCTGGGCTGTAAATTCTTGAGAGTTGGGGACAGAGCCTCTGCTGGAGTGGATGTCCCTGCTGGGAGCTCCCTCCAGGCACCCAAGTGGCCCCCACACCCCCTCCTGCTTGGTGATCCAGGCCAGGAAGACCCCCACCTCCTCCCCGAAACTGTCTCCCCCAAACCCCATTGCACCTAAGCCCATCCTGTCCCATCGACACGGCACCCCTGGCACCCAGGAACCAGATGGCCTTATGCCCCTGCAAGCCTGGGACACTTGCGAGTTCAGACACCTGCATTCCTTCGCTCAGAACCTCTATGCCCCGAGCACGTGCTGACACTTCAAGCTCAGCGGCTCATCTGGGTCCCCCAGCGACCCTCGAGACAGGCAGCATATCATCCGTGCCGAGCACACTGAGGAGCCGGCACTCTGATGCTGCAGTACCTGTCCAGGTTGAGCTGCTGAGTGTCAGACTTGCACTTGGATCTGTGGGACTTGGAGCCTGAAGTCCTAAGCGTGGTGATAACGGCCAAGCGAGGTAATCCCAGCACTCTGGGAGGCCAAAACGGGAGGATCGCTTGAGGTCAGGAGTTCGAAACCAGCCTGAGCAAGAGTGAGACCCCGTCTCTACTATAAATAGAAATAAATTAATTGGCCAACTAATATATATAGAAAAAATGAGCCGGGCATGGTGGCGCATGCCTGTAGTCCCAGCTACTCGGGAGGCTGAGGCAGGAGGATCGCTTGAGCCCAGGAGTTGGAGGTTGCTGTGAGCTAGGCTGACAAAGTGAGACTCTGAAAAAAAGAAAAAAGAAAAGTCTTCCAGGAGGGATAACTTCCCCATAGCAGCGGGATGAGGAAATAGCCGGTATCCCCGGGAACTGGGCGTGGCGATGGACCTGAATGTTCCTACCACAGTCACCCTTATCCTCCTCTGGTTTACAGACTCCCGTATGTCTCTTAGTGACTCTCTTGGAAATGTACTGTCCCTAGCCAGATTTTCTTTGTCTTGTCATTTCTTCTCAAATTTGTCACTCTTTGTCTAAAAAGTAGGAAAGCACCTCACTTTCACCACTTCTTCAGACTTCCCTCTCTTGTGAAAATTCCCATGAACACTAATAAAATGTGTGTGTGTATATATATATATATATTTTTTTTTTTTTCCCCTTAAGAGACAAGGTCTCACTCTGTCCCCTAGGCTGGATGGAGTGCAATAGTGTGATCATATCTCACAGCAGGCTCAAGCTCCTGGGGTCAAGCGATCCTCCTGCCTCAGCCTCCCAAGGAGCTGGAGCTACAGGTGCACCATGCCACCATGCCCGGCTATTTTTTTCTTACTTTTTGTAGAGACAGGCGTCTTGCTATGTTGCCCAGGCTGGACTTGAACTCCTGGCCTCAGGTGATCCTCCTACCTCAGCCTCCCCAAATGCTGGGATTACAGGCATGAGCTACTTCACTCTCCCTTTTTCTCTTATTAGTCTGCCTGATGTCAATTTGGTTTCTAGATGCAGCCAAAAAGCCCACATAATAGCTAAGAAGGAGGGGAACGTAGAAGTGATCTCTGGCTCTCCTATACGGTAGTAACTGCTGTTTCTAACTGGTTTAAGCACTTTACTGGCACGAACTCATGGGGTCCTCCTAGCAAGGTTTTAGGACGGGTTTATTATCTTCATTTCATGCTGGGGAAACTGAGGCACAGCTAGATTAGGTAACTTGCCCGCTATGTTCTCTAAAGCCAAAACAATGGCAAAGTTGGGATTTGAACTGAGGCGTGTGCCAGGGTTCCTCAACTATTGACATGTGGAACTGGGTCATTCTTTGGGGTGGGGGCTGCTTTGTGCATTTTTGGATGTTGCCCACTCCCTCCCCCTGGCCCCCACCGGCTCACGCTGCCAGTAGCAATTCTGCCCTCAGCTTTGACAGCCAAAGACGTCTCCAGATGTCACCGCATGTCGGGGTGGGGGTGGAGGGCAGGCTTGCCACCTGCCTTCGACTGTCCTGCTTGTCCACACAAGTGCCAACCTGAAAAGTGACTCTGTGCGTGCGTTTTGCAAACCTGAGGCTGGCTCGAGTCCTTGCGGTGGAGGTGACTGGCAGGTCTGGCCGGTCTTGCTGGAGAGGGGTGGCAGGTCCCGCAGTCTGGGCCGGGTCCCTTCCTGGCCTGGGAGAGCCACCTGCCAGGTTCCCAGTGCCCTGTGGGTGGGCTTGCTGGGTGGTGGTGACCCCAGCTGGGTGGAGTAGGAAAAAGCTACCTTCTTCCTACTTCCTGGTACTCAGGGGTGGGTGGTGGCGGTAGTGGTGGTGGCCTGGGAGCCGGAGGGTGTGGGGAGCCCCAACCCTGCCTCCGGATTTCCTGGGTGGTGCCTGGGTTTGCGCTCCAAGCCCCACAGCCCCTGCGGGCACAGAGGAGAAAGCGGAGACTCAGCGAGCCTCCCGGCCTGCCTCCCACTGTCCTGTCCCACCCGGCCTTGGCCTCGGCCTTGGCCTTGGCTCCGGGCCAGCGGCTGCGGGGCACAGGGTCCCTTCACCTACGGCCTCTGCAGCATCCTGGCCAGGACCTTTGAGGTCTCATCTTAGAATGGTCACCCCGGCCCCCTCCTCCCCTTCCCCGTCCCCTCCCCCGCCCCCCCATCCCCAGTGGGTTTCTTTCCTGGCAGGCGCAGGAAGGCGGAAATGAGTGTGGGGCGTGGAATGTCTCTGAGGCTGGAATATATTTAGCCCGGACGGGAGTGTGTGTGGCGCCGGCCAGGCGCGTCTGAGCAGTGAGGCTGGGAGGCCCTGAGCCGGGGCTGGGAGGCTCCTGCTTTCTCCTTTT